GGTTGGGCCGGAGTGGGGGCAGATTTATGTCCGGAAGCCCTGGGCCTGCGTCTGGGGGCTGAGGCGGGTGGGGTCTCCACGGACAGAGGAAATGGTGTCAGGGAATAAGGAGGCCTGGAGCAGGGTGTGGCCTAGAGGTGGGGCGCAGATGGGGACACCCGGGGTGACCCTTAGCCTGTGCTGTGCGGCAGAGGAGGCAGACGGCAGCCAGAAGTCCCCGGGCCCGAGGACTTGGTACACTGTTAGGCGGAGGCCCCACGCCCCGCGACAGGGACAGAAGGACGCCAGGCCACCGCCCCTAGGACCTTCTGTGAGTGTTCCTCACTTTCCTGTCCACTCCAGAGATACCGCTGGGGACAGAGTCTGCGACACGAGCTGACAGTTCGGGGTGACGAGAGGAAGCAGCTGCCATCACCACTGCTATGCACAGTGACCCCGGGCCAGGCCACAGTACCCACCCTGGGCCGCCATCAGGGGAGGCGAGGACCAATCCACCACTGCTGTGCCAACAGGACACCAGCACTGAGGAACCCACCGCCTCAACTTCCTGTTCCCAGGCTCCTCAGCCACGCGGGGTGGCAGGGCCTCCTGGCGGCAGCATGTCTTTGGGGACATGTCGGGTGCCAGCCTGGACCATAGAGGTCCCAGGCCTCTCTGCTGGCCTCTGTGAGAAGAGACAGTGCAGCCCACCCCACGGGGTACTGCTGCCCCGGCATGACAGGACAGTGCAGAGGGGCAGCTCCCTTCCCATGGCGGGTGGTGCTGCCTGGCCTGCACATCAACCGTGTTGGTGAAACTGTCCTCCTAAGCGAAAGGTAAACAGCCACTGTCTTCTGCCCAGGGCCGAGGCTGTGCCACCGCCTGACCCAAGATGGACCGCCACGCTGCCAAACACAGCCGGCTGCTTTGTCAGTCTAGCATTTCTGTGGAGGTCAGGTGTGGTGATGCTCACCTGTAACCCCAGCAGTCAGGAGGCTGAGGCAGGAGGATCACCATGAGCTCAAGGTCAGCCTGGGCTTCATGGTGAGTTCAAAGCCTGACTGAACTGCATGGCCAGACCCTGTCTCAAAAAAAAAAAAAAAAAAAAAAGAAGAAGAAGAAGAAGAAGAAGAAGGAAAAGAAAAATGAAAAGAAAAGAAATTCTGTATAAATGCACATGAGATCAGATTTATTTGCTGTAAAAGGTACAACTCCATGCATTGCAAACACAGGGTTAGCAGCCACGCCGCTCAGCACTGCGGAGGAAGCCCTGAGCTTTCTCAGCACCCTACCGGGACCCCAGCTCGTTAGCCCCTCCCCTCTCCCCTACTACCCCTAACACCCACTAGCCCCCACCAGCTCCTCGGATTAGCCTGGGCCGGTACATCACTGGATGGGGCTCGCACAGTAGCGCCTTCTGGTGGCCGCGGAGGGGCTCACACTGCGGTTTGGAGCTCTGTTCCCGCTACCGCCCCCGGACGGTGGGCGTGGCCAATCCCCGCGGGGCGGGGCTGCTCTGGGGCGAGGGGCGGGGCGAGGGGCGGGTGGGGGCGGGGCGAGGGGCGGGTGGGGGCGGGCCCGTCCGTGTCCCTTTTCTCCGCCTGTGCTGGGAATCCTGCAGCCCGGGGATTTGGTGACTGCCTCTCACTAACGGACTTCAGGGACACATCGCGGTCTCTGGTGAGCAAAGCTGCCTGCTCGTCCTCGTCACCCTCAGCCCCAGAGTCACCGTGTCACCCTGTCACCTGCAGCAAGGACCGTTCGCCGGGACAGAGCCTCAGGCTCCTGCAGAGTTGCTGGGACCGCAGCCCGGCTCCCCACGCAGTGCAGGCTGGCCTGGAACTCACAGCAGTCCTCCTGCCTCAGCCCCCGAGTGCGGGGATTTCAGCAAGCCTGGCTGTCTTCATCTTATTAAGGAGTTAAAAATTCAGGGGCTGGGGATTTAGCTCAGCGGCATAAGCGCCTGCCTTGCAAGCAGGCAGTCGTGAGTTCAATCCCTGGTACCGATAAAAACGAAAAAGACAAAAAAAAAAAAAAAAAAAATTCAGCCCCCAGCTCACTGAAGAGACAGATTTGCGCTGGTGTTGTTCAGTGGCTGAGTGCCGATGTCTTGTGCTCCGGTGACTGACTTGGGGAAGACAATGCGCAGTGTATGGACCACTGATGCCTCTGATTGATGTGTTCTGATTTTTGTTTTCTTCTTTTTTTTTTCTCCTTGAAATAAAATGAATTTGAAAAAAACAATCAGTCTCCTCCCAGGCATGGTCCTACAGTCCTGTAATCCCAGCACTGGGGAGGCGGAGGCAGGAAGATTGCAGTGAGTTCAAGGCCAGCCTGGACTACATACCCAGGCCCTGCCTCAAAGCAAAACAGTTAAATAATTTTAAAATAATAAAATGTGGCCTTAAAATAGGAACTGTTCCCCTTGGTTGGGGAGCAGGGAGACTGGCCCTGACAGTGACTGATCGCGGGGCCCATGGAGTGACCCTCGATGGCTCCCAAGTCGGCCTTTAGGAGCTGACATCCTCCTGTTGCAGATTCACGGGACTTTGCTCCGGAAAACCACCCCCATCCCTCCAAGGAACACCCCAGTTGCTCCAGGGCACCGCCGTGGAAGAGAGTGCAGCAGCCCCGGCCACCCAGCACCCCCAGTTGAACGTGGGACGGGTTGTGATTCCAGGGCCAGGCTGTGGGCTCACGTGTCAGGCTTGGGGAGATAATTGGAAGTGTGTGCACCCCAAACCCTCGTACCAGGCGAGGAGATGGGGAGAGGGGCCCTGCCCTGCCACTCAGCGTGTGCGTTTGTATGCACGTGTGTGCACGCCTAGCAGTGTGGGCCGTGCAGCGAGGTGGCAGAGTTAGGACCACGTGCCCACCCCACCTCCACCAGGCTGGGAAGGGGGCACCCAGGACACACCTGTCCCCACTCTGGGCTTCAGCTCCTCCCTTCCTCTGTAAGCGTCCACTAAGTCAGGACCCTGAGGGACACAGAAAAGCCGTAATGTGGAAGAAAAGGGGGGGCAGGGAGGGGAGGGACGGGAAGGCGGGTACCATTCACACAGCTGAAAAGTGGAACGTGGGCCTCGGGATGCAGGACTGGACCTCTTGGTGGACGCAGCCTTGTATTTTTCTCCCTCTCCCCTCTCCTCCCATCTTTGGACTCAGATTCTGTCCTGCATTCTTGGGGAGTGTGTCACAGATGTCCCTAGTGACTACAAATGCCCTGGCCAGCTTGCTGACCAACTGAGAGGGCCTCTTTGTCCTCAGTGTCAGCAAAACCTTGGGGCTGATGCCCCATGGCGTGACCAGCCACTGACTGCAGAAGGCTGAGATGCAGTGGGGACCATGGGGTGGCCCCTGGGGGAGGGCACCTCACAGAGGGGACCCAGGAGAAGTCCCCACCGGCCACCCATCCAGTGTGCTCTGTTGCCCAGCCGCTGTCAACTCTCACCCCAGAGAGGGTGCTGTTCGGGGGTCCCAGCCGCCACGGTTCTTAGCGGTTTACACCCAGGACAGGCAGCGATGGGTCCTGGGCACCAGCCCGCAGCAGGGCTGCCCGATTCCGGGTCCTTCCCATGTGCAGTGCCCTCTGCCAAGCAGCCCTGCTGCGGCTGGCAGAGGAAACAGGCGAATCCGGACAACCAGGGAGAGTACAGAACAGCAACCGATCCCTGGAGAAGCCAGAAGAAGCCAGGAGTCGTGCACACACCTGTAATCCCAGCTATGGGGAGGCCGAAGCAGGAGGGTCATAAATTCAAACCAGCCTGAGCAACTTCTTGAGCTCTTATCTCAAAATAAAAAGTAATAATAAAATGATAAAAGGCCTAGGCCTGGGGATTGAGCTCAGTGGCACAGCACTTGCTTAGTGTGTGAAAGGGTTCAATCCTGGGTTCAATCCTGCTATTAGGAAAATAAACAGCAAGCTGGGCGTGAAGGCACGTGCTTGTAATCCCAGTACTTTGGAGGCTGAGGCAGGAGGATCACTGTGGGTTCAAAGCCAACCTGGGTGACATAATGATTCCAATGTCAGCCTGAGCCACATAAAGAAACCCTGGCTCAAACACACACACACAAAAGCAAAGGAGCCCAGTGGAGAAGCAGGAAGAGTGGGTGTCCGCAGGTTTCTGTGGACGTGAGTCCCTCCATTGCTCTGCTGAAGGAGCCCAGGTCTCCTCTGGGACGGCCCGGTCCCCCGAGGAAGCGTTGGGCTGCTTTTCCATCACCTGAGGATTAGGCCCTCCAGAGCAGGGGAATCGGGAAATCTGGGGGCTCCCCGGGAAGGGTCCCCAGCCCACAGCTCCACTGCTGTGCCCACCGAAGTGGTCCCCACGTGATCTGCAAACACGTGAAGAACAGCATTTTACAGGGAGAGAGAATAGAAGCGGAAATGCCAGTCTTCTCTTCCTGCCTGGTTACACAAACGCCCAATTAGAAACCACAAATCAGGTACAGTCCTGTTCAAATGTGGAGCCTGCCCAGTGGGCAGCGGGGCCGACCCATGGCCTTCGGCCTTCTCGGTCAGGAGTGGGACCCTGCCCCCAGTCACAGACACCCCCTCTTGCAGGGCTGCGGGCCGGGTGACAGAGCCGCACGTGTGCATAAGGTGTGGAGATGGAGGCATCTCACAGGACGGGGAGGCTCGGCTGGTCCTCAGCTGTGCCTCACAGGGGCAGGTCAGTCTACCCTGGGCAGGCCTGCAGGTCATCGGCGAGGCCCACATGTCATGTGCCTCCTGGCCACCTGCACCGTCGTGCCAGGGCATCCTGCCAGTCCCATTCTGCCCTCCGGGGTCCTGTGCCCCAAACCACAGAGGGACAGGGACTTCGCCCGCCATTTGCTGCCCTCCTCCTCTCCTGGGCTCAGATCTGTTTACCAGATCGAAGCACTGTGACCGAGTGGCCTGTCCCCAGGACAGCCGCTGTCCCCACACACCCACCCCCAGGTCAAACTGAACGCCCTCGCACACACTGAGATGGGCACGGGTTGAAATTTAACCACGGGGCTCAGGGATTCAGGTGAGTTCCTCCAAAGTGGGGTACACTGCACCCCGAAGCTCTGCTGACCAGGCACAGTCTGACGGTGGGAAGCATCTCCTGCTGAGACGGGGGTAGCCGACCTGGATGCTCAGGGCCATGACGCTGGGGAAGGGCCCCTGCAAGCCCTCTGGCACCCCCTTCCTGCCCACGTGGATATGGGGGGCTCCCCTGGGGCTTGCGATGGGGCCAGAGAGGCAGTGTTCCCAGCAGACCTGCGGGCAGAGCCTCGGGAGTGATGCTTGTGAGTAGGCCCGTGTGACACTGGCACGGTTTCCCACACAGAGAGGAGAGGCTGAGGCAGCAGTGTGGCTCGGGGCTCCGAGCTGCTGTTTCTCAAGCTTGGTGGCCTGGAGGAGTCATTGGCCTCGGTTCCTGGGTCTTGGGGCCAGGTGGGCAGGCAGCATGTCCTTGGCCGCTGGGCTTCATCCTGGAGGAGCCCCGCTGGGTGTGGGCACCTCACCTGCCCTGCCTCAGTTTCCCCACCCCAGGATGGGTGTGACTGGATGCTGTCTCCCGGGCCCACAGTCATGACAGGACGTGTGTAGACAGCCTGGCCCAGGACAGGGACACCACCAGCTCCTCCCCCAGACCACAGCAGGCGCCATAACGAAGGGTGTGGAAACCTGGGCACCAGGCTGGCTGCTATTGTGCAGGAACTCAGGCTTATGAAGGGCGGGCAGATGGCCTGGGGGGACAAGGACTCTGTCCCCAGCCTGGGGTGCAGCCATTCCTCATGAGACCATAGTAAGCAGCTGCTCCCCCCAAGGGAGGCCGGAGGCTCAGAGCTTTTTCTGGGAATTCACAGAGCAGGAAAGGACAGCACAGGCCCACATTTAGGATCTAGGGCGGCGCCCTCCTGCCCTCCATGGCTCCCTTCCCAGCCCCAGTCCTCTGGGGCCAGGAGCCTTCCTGGTCCCCAGAGCAGCAGCCTGATCCCAGGTCCTGCCCCAAGACCGCCCTAGGCTCCAGATGGCACAGAAGGGGTCAGTGTACAGTCGCCGTGCCCTCCACGCACCCCCTTGGACAGAAAGGTGCGTCTACCCTTGGGAAGAAGCCCACCTGTGCCCACCGGCTGGCGGCTTCTCTCCGGCCTGAAGTGCAGGTATCTTCATGCCCAGCTGCCTTGTGTTCTCAGGACCACCGGGAGCTGCAGGATGCCTGTAAAGGCTCAGGACGGCACCCACCAGCCCCGGCTGTGGGTGCTGCCCCCAGGACCAGGCCTGGAGCGCTTGGAGCTCCCTGTGTGGGAGGCGCGACGTGGCCTCGGTCTCCAGCACTGCAGACAGTGGTGCTCCTCTGTGATGCCACGCTGCACACCGCTGCTGGGCAGGGACGTGCCCACCAGACAGCCCAGAGCCAGGTTGGGCTGAGGCCTCACACTTCACCTCACATGGGATGTGCGCCCCCCGAGGGGTCACCTCACGCCCAAGCTTTGTCGCTGATGCCCACGGCATCCGGAACTGCACTCGAGGGTCCACCCAGTGGGACTAAAACAACTGAGAACCACTGGGGCTTTGGCCTGGAGAGAAAGGTCCAACCACCAAGACTCACATTTAGGGTCCACGTGATTCAGGACCTGCTGTTCCATCACCCCAGCTGTGTGCGGGAGCCACCCACCTCCGTGCAGCGGGGACTTCACATCGCCATGGAGTAGCCACGACCCTTCGGTAACCAGTGATCACACGGCCCAGGTTCCCACGGCCCGGGCGGGGATCGTGCATGTTTACATGCTGCTCTGCCTGTGGTGGGTGCTGCCAGCTTGCATATGCTGGTCACCTCGGGTGTGACCACCCTGGCAGGGGCAGCTCTCTCCTACAGTGTCCAGGGGTGGCACCCGGAGGGGGAGTCCACTGCGCAGGCCCATGGGAGGTCCTGTTGGGGACCCTAGCTCAGCAGGAGCTGTGCCAGGGTGGCAGGGCTCCCAGGCTCACTGCAGGGAGCAGGACAATGAGGGGGGACCTTCCCATGTCCACCCACATGAACGGAGCAGGGACCTGGGCCATTATCAGCTCTGTCCGGAAGCCGGGCCAGCACTTAGCAGGCAGCAGGTCCCGATGAGTGACTGGGAAGGAGGCACCTTTGGTCCCAGCCACGCCCCAGCCGGCCAGCTGGGGAGCTCTGGGCGCTGGAAACCTGCTCGGTGTCCTGGCAGCCTCGCCCCCACAGCAGTCTCCAGCACCTCCTTCCATCCGACCGGCAGACACCTTGGCCGACTCACTGTTGGTGGCCTCTTTCTTTCAGCAAAGGGGACCTGGAAATGTCCACTCTCCCCACGCCTGGCCTCGCTGAGTTGGGAAGAGCAGACTCCCAGCTGGCTGGGCCTTTCTGGGGCACATCCTGGACCCCAGTTCCACGTGACACCCATGTGGCCTGCTGGGGGGCAGCATGGCCTGTGGACCACGGACTGGGGGCAGGGCTCCCCCGCAGAGCAGTGCGGGTCTGTCCACCTCAGCAGGCTCTGGGAGACCAGGACGCCTGGGAAACGGGGCCCCGGGCAGCGGCCGCGTCCCACCCACGTGACGGCTCCTGGTCGGGGGGTGGGGGCTCTGGGGACTGATGCTGAGGTCCTCCACTGAGCTGCATCTCCACCGCTTTCTATGTTTATTTTTTATTTTGAGACAAATCATCACTGAGTCACTAAATTCCCCAGCCGAGCTGCAATGCGAGATTTGTAGCCTCCGGAGGGCTGGAATGATGGGCCTGGCTGGCTCCCGCCGGTATGCTTTGTTTTGTTTTGTTCCTTTGAGGCAGGGTCTGGCCATGCAGCCCAGACTGCCCTCGGACAGGCAGGGACCCTCTCGCCTCAGCCTAAGTGCTGGGATGACAGGCGCACACTACCCAGCTGCCCTGTGTGGACATGGCCCTGTCCTGCATGGTCCTCGGCATCCCTGCTGGAGGTGGAGGCTGGAGCAGGAGCACATGTGGAAACCCGTGATGTGAGCGCAGGGACGTTGCCCAGGCTGTGGACTTGGAAACACCGGGTTCCGGGAGCCCCGAGCGATGAGCCCGCTCCCTGGCCCACTGTGTCCCACTGCGTGTGGCGGGCAGGGCAGTTCGTCCACTCCAAGGATTACTCCTTCAACACTCGCCCGGCGCCTCTGTCCCTGGCCAAGTGGGGGCAGTGCAGCGGGCAGACCGTCACTTGTGTGCTGCTCCTGAGGGGCAACGCCCACCTGCTACGGTTGCTGGGCACAGCCCTGGGGCAGATTGTACATCCTGCTGAGCTCCTGGCTTGCTTAAACCATGACTCTTGGACGCAGTGGATAAGGTTTGGTAGACCGGAACGCAAGAGTGTCACGCTGGCCGGGAGACCCTCAGGGTGGACAGGAGAAATTCTCGGCTCCTGGTTTCCTGGAGGTTGAGCACAGGCCCTGGCCGGCCTCCTATGCCGGGCGTTCATAGCAGGAAATTGTCCCGCACAGAAGCAGAGCTGGGAGAGAAATGTCACAGCTCCGGGCACAGAAGCTGCCTGGACCCGACCCCGCTGAGGCGCCCGTCTGCAGCAGAGCGGTGGTGGGACGGGGCAGGAGGACAGGGTCATGGCTGGCACCGCTGGGGAGAGAAGGGGGAGAGGGAGGACCCTCCACACCGTGGACGGCCCTCGACACGGAAGGGACACAGTGTCCCACTCTAAGACGGTGGCAGCCGCCTCCTCCCTGGATTCCTGGCTGTCCTCAAAGCCAGCCTGGCCGTGCACCAGGGTTACTGCCGCCTTCTTGCTGGCCCACAGGTTGCCTGTGTTTTCTGAGGACTCGCTGTGTCTTACTCTCAGGGTCCCCCCTCTCAGGACTGGGGTGAACCCAGGGGGAGGCATCGTGATGCTCCCTGGACCCCTTCCTGCAGGACGGAGCTCTGGGACCCGCCTGCCCTGCCCCGCCAGCCACCTCCTCCATGCACATCCTAGTCCCTGCTGGGCCTCCTGGGGTCTCACACTGCAGGGGGACCCACAGAAGTCAAGGTCCCACCCTCACAGCCCGGGTGGTAATTGGCTCACTTTCCTGTTGCTGGGACAAAATACCGAACATGGAGGGGAGGTGGACTCGGCTCACGGATTTCAGTGCTTCATCTGTGGCCAGCGGCTCCATGCAGGAGCAACGCATGGAGGGGCTTAGCAGAGGGGAAAGGAGAGGGAAGAGAGGGCGGGGAGGGAGCCCCAGCTTTCCAGGCCAGGCTTGGAGAGCGCCGGGCAGCTGCCCCCAAACGTGGACCACATAAACTCCCCCTTGAGAGCCCACTGACTTGCACACAGCCGGATCGCCAAGATCCCCTACATGAGAATTCGGGGAACAGTTTAGACCTAAACCATAGCAGGTGAAGTCCCAGCTCCAGGGAGAAGGAGAATCTAGGTCTCCAGGGGTACGAGGGGAGGCTGGCATGGCGGTGCACGTCTGTAACCCTAATTTAGGAGGCTGAGGCAGGAGGACTGCCCAGAGTTCCAGGCCAGCCTGAGCTACGTAGCAAGATCCTGTCGCAAAAAATAAAAACAAACTAAAAAGGTCCACAGTGGGACATGCGCAAAGGGTCCATAAACGTGCCCAAGAGTTCTCCCCATGTGGTCTGGAGTCCTCAGTTTCCCCTGAGCTGGGATGGGTGGGACCTCGGGCACCGTGTCTGCTGTTGCCACCCTGGGACTCAGTCGGGCTCTCGGCTCTGTCCCCAGGGCACCCCCGCTGGACAGGCCGGGTCTCGGTGCCCAGGGGCACCCGACAGTCTCCCATCAACATCCAGCGCAGGGACAGCATCTACGACCCCCGGCTGCCACCGCTCAAGGTGGCCTACACCGCTGCGTCCTGCCAGTGCCTGAGGAACACCGGCTACCTCTGCCAGGTGGACTTCGACGAGGCTGCCGAGGGCTCAGGTGAGCTGCCCGGGCTGAGGTCCTGCGTGTCTTCCGTGCCACGCGGGCCTCGACTCAGTGGTGAGGGGAGGAGAGCAGAGACCCAGTCTGCCTGCACCACGCGGGCATAGGGAGCAGGGGACGGTCACGGGGACGGTCACGGGGATGCCCCTCCCCAGGCCAGGCAGGTCAGGGCCGTCCAGGGCCGAAGCCCCGTCCCTCTCGGCTGACGCCCAACAGGCTGGTAAAGCTGGAAAACGTCCCCAGTAGGGGGAGACGCCCGCACCCTGACCCTGTGCTGGCCTCCTGCCTCATGGAGTGGCAGGGGAGGTCGCTGTGTAGAGCTGGGAAACATTTGCACCTCGGTTGGGCTGGTGCCCCCTGTGGCACCAGGAACTCGCTGTCCACTCAGACTTTCTCCTGGAGCCTGGGACAGAAACCCAGCCCACATGACTTAAGCAGAACAGACCTGGGGCTCCGTCCTCCTGGGGGTCTGATGAACGCTGGGATTTGGGCTATGGACGCTGTCCAAGGTTTGGGAGGCCTCCCAGCAGAGTGACTGGACAGAGTCTCCCACAGTCCCCCACCCGCAAGTCCCGGCGGGGGGCCGGTGTTCCCGTGGGTCACCTGGGTAGAACCTCTCATAGTGACCCCGGCCAGGTGTCTCCGGCCTGGGGAAGGCCCTGCCCAGAGCAAGATGCGGCCAACACCGGGGAAGGTGACTTGTGCGGGACCACGTGCGCTGCTCCCAGAGGCCCGGGCTGGACGGCAGGGCGAGGGCTGTCCTCTGTGGAACACTGGGCAGACGCTCCTCTGCAGTGCCCTTTACAGCACTGACAAACAGGAACATGGCCGGACCCATGGGCCTGCCTGGAGCTGCTGACCCCAGTGCAGACCCTGAGCCCCTCCGGGTGGCGGGGGCAGCATCCGTCCTGACAGCAGAGACGCGTGGGTGGCGGCCAGCACGCAGGGGCAGGGGCAGGAGAGGGGCAGCCTTGGGGTCACTGCGGTTTTCCTTGGGCCCTCGGCCTGGCTCTTACTAATGCTCTGGCCCAGCGACATTTCCAGGAGTGCCCTGCGGGGGGAGCCCGGCGACCGTGGCTGTGGCTGACCCTGAGGGCCATTTCTTTTTCCTCAGCACCCGGGATGGAACCTAAGGCCTTGACACTGGCCGACACCCCCAGCCCAGCATTCAACTGTTCTGTGTTTTGAGTTGGGGTCTTGCTAAGTTGCTAGGCTGCTCAGGCTGGGCTCACACTTGTGATCCCTCCTGCCTCAGTCTCCCGATGCTGGGATCACAGTGTGTACTGCAGTGTCCAGCCGCGAAGGCCTCCCTCAGGGCTCAGCCTCGCTTCCAGTTAGCATAGCTATCCCGACCCTGTACTCTCAGCACGAAAAGTCACTTGGGAAGCCTTAAGGGGGTGCCCTAACTTTACTGGCTGGAAAAGTGACAGAATTTGACTTGAACCCTGCTACGAAGGCTGAGGGTCTGGGGCTGCCAGGGGCTGGGACAGGTGACCTTGGTCACACTTACAGCCTGCCCTAAGGAAGTGTTCTCCCCGTGTGCAGTGGGTAGGAGGTGAGTGCCCCAGACCACGGGCCCTGGCCCACAGGCCTTTGTTCCTGGGCAGCCGCTTCACACAGCAGAGCCGCGTCTGCGGTGGCCGCTGTTTTTGGGGGGCTCCCTTCAGTGCACGGTGCTGTGCTGCCCTATTTTGACACAGCCCTCACAGCAGCCCCAGCCAGCCTCAGGTGCATCCGGGTCGATGCGCCATAGTGCCCCGCTGCCCACTCACCTGCCACACACACCAGCGTTTGGGGGCATTTTACATTTGCACTGAGCAGCTGGCTATTACTTATCCCACTTTATGGGGGAATCCAGGGCTGGAAGGGGTGAGGCCTCTGGACCAGTGTCACACACTGTGACAGAGGGACGTGGCATCCGTGCCAGGTCAGAGCCCTCCTGCCTGCACACAGGGCCCCCTTTGCTGGTCACAACCACAGCTTTCGTCTTTAAGTAAATAAACACGTGGCCTTTTGCCGGGGCTACATTGTGAGGTCTAATTTAGGAAACATGAGAATCTTTGTTTCATCTTCAAAGAGATCCGGACGCCCTCGCGGGCAGGGAGGCTCGGAGGGGCCAGAGACGTGAGACCTCAGGAAAGTGTTGTGCTTTGAGGGTCCCACACAGGTTAGAGGAGGGCCCCACCCCGTGAACCCCACCGAGCATTCCCAGGCGTGTCCACCGCTTAGCCGCTGGGGCCACCACAGCCCAGCCAGGTGGCCGTGGCCTGCCCTTCGCTGACCCTCCCTGGCAGCCCCAGTGGAGGGTCCCTGCCTCATCCCGCCCTTGCAGCCCTTTGGGTTTTCTGAAAGCTTCTTGGTCCCCAGCCCAGAGTGACCATTGTCCCAGGCCACCCCCTTGCTCAGATGCAAAGGACAAGACACTGCTGCTCAGAGTGGGGGAAGGGAACAGTTGTTCTCACTGGCAGTGCCCACAGTCCGAAGGACCCGCTCTGGTCACATCCTCTTACCAAGGCACTCTGTGCCCACCAAAGCAGGTGGACTGGGTTTCAGGGGTCAGAGGCTGTGTGTCCACACAGGACGCAGGGCCAGCTTGGTGTCTGTTGTGTGGAGCCGGGCTCACGGCTCCATCCTGCTTGGGGTTTCCTGGGTGACATCCCAGACTCCCCACAGGGCTTCACCTGCAGGAGTGCTGGGGCCCACAGCTCCAGCCCCAGCTCTGCTGGTGGGCCGTGGTCTGGGGTGACACCTGCACCTCAGTATCCAGGCCTTTCTCAAACTCACAGCAGCGAGAGAGGCCTGCCTGGGTCCCTGTGGGTGCCACGCTTCGAACAAGCACATCCCAAGAGGCAGAGGCAGGCTCCCAGCTGAGCTGCCCCTCAGGGGCCAATCTGGGCATTGGGGGCCACAGTGGTGTGGGACCAGTCAGTGCCACAGGGTGGTGGGCAGGCACCAGTACCATACAGCCCTTGTCTCGTGGTCCTGCGCTTTCCTTAGATCAGGCTCCTGCTCTGGGCCAGGCCTTGGTGTCAGACCTGGATTCCAATCCGATCCCTCCTTGGCTGTACCTCTGCCCCCTCCCCCCCCAGCCACAGAGCCACTGGGCTCACAGGCTGTGTACGGGGACAAACAGGCCCCTTAATGCTCAGTGAGCCCTTCACAATGACTCAGACGAGGCCAGGTCTGCGCACATGGCCAGCGCCTGAGGGATGCAGCCCTGGACACACAGCGCAGCCAGGCTCCTCCACAAGAGGTTGCTAACTGGGCTCTCGGGGAGGAGGCCCCGGCACCAGGCCCGCCCGGAAAGCCACCTCGAGGCCGTGGGTAGGGAGCCACTGCCTTGGTGGTCAGGGTCCAGGGACACTCGAAAGGCGTCCCCAGAGGAGCCCTGGCCCAGCGGCCGGCTGGCCTGGGCAGGGACTTCGGAGCACAGATGGGGAGGCTTTGAGCTGTGCATCTGAACAGACGACAGGGCAGCTCAGAATCGGCCTGGGAGATGTCACCATGTAGAGGCAGTATGGGGACCTGCACCCATTTGCACCAGAGGACTGGGTGACCAGGACACTGAGCCTGTCCCTGGGGAGGGAAGTCAAGCCAGAACACAAATTCGGGCGGAGCGGAGGGATGGACGTCTTGCTGGCGTTTGCAGGGATCAGCGGGGGGCCCCTGGAGAGCCACTACCGGCTGAAGCAGTTCCACTTCCACTGGGGATCCACGGACACGCAGGGCTCTGAGCACACAGTGGACCACCGTGCCTTCGCGGCAGAGGTGTGTGGGGACCTCAGGGCGGGCCGTGGGCGGGGACGGGCTCCCAGCAGGCCTGCAGGATTGTGCCAGAACTGGGAGCCGGGCGTCCTGAGGCCTGAGAACAGGGCCAAGCACCCCAGCCTGTGGGGCGCTGCGGGCCTCGGTCAGGATCTGAAAATCGCCAGTGAAGAGGGTGTGTGTGGTGTGCGCGGGTCTAGCTGGAGATCGCACCCAACGCCTCCTGGAGGCCACTGAACTGCAGCGCCAGCCCCTTTTGTTTGTATTCATCTGTTTATTTCGAGGCGGCTGTCACTGTGCAGCTCAGGTGAGCCTTGAATTTAGGATCCTCCTGCCTCAGCCTCCTGATCCCAGGCATGTGAGGCCGCCCAGAATACATTTTTATTTTGTTTGATTGTGAGACAGTGTCTCATAAGCTGCGCAGGCTGGCCTCACGCTTGCAATCGTCCTGCCTCAGCCTCCCGGAGTGCTGGGATTGCAGGCGCTTGGCTCCTGCCCTGTTTTGCACTGTGATAATCGCGCATTCCTTTCTCGCCCGGCAGCAGTGCCCGCAGTGCTGGGCTTCCTACCCTCGGCTGACCTGACACACAGAGCCGCACAGAGGCAGAGGTGGTCCCTCCCGTCTGCCTCCGCCAGGCTCGACTCTCGCCCCGCTGTTTCAGCTGCACCTGGTTCACTGGGATGCCACGCGGTACCCGAGGTACCAGGAGGCGGTCCTCGGGGAGAGGGGCCTGGCTGTGACCGCCGTCTTTCTGAAGGTAACGGCCCGGGCAGGGCACCACACCTGGCGAGAGAGCGGCCTCGAGCTGGGCCTGGTCACGGGAGCCCGCTGGCCGCTACCCCCATGCTGACGGCCGCGTGTCTGTCCACAGCCGGGCGCCCCACACCAGGCCCTGCAGCAGCTGGTGGACGTCTTGCCAAAGATAAAACACAAGGTGAGGTGTGGTGCGGACCAGCCCGGCTGCCACGTCCGCTGGGGGGAGACATGGAGGAGCCCGCAGAGGGAGCGTGGTCCAGGTCTGGCAATGGAGCCGGGGGCCCAGTTCCTGGACACGAGCCTGGAGGAACCCGCTCTCCGGCCTCAGCCTAGCTCCTGTCCATGGGCCCTGCTTCCTCCTGAGTGAGGCACAGGCACAGGCTCCTCTGGAGCACCCCAAATCAGCCCTCTGCAGCGTCTGGAAGGGGCGCCTCTGCCTGCCCCAGGCCTACTGCTGGCTGAATACTTTCCCTTAACTAGATTTAGTCTTTGCCAGCACTCTGGGAGGCTGAGGCAAGAGGATCCTAAATTCAAGCCCTCCTGGACAAGTGGGTGACTTAGTGAGAGCCTGTCTCAAAATAAAGATACCAAGGGCTGGACGGAGCCCATCGGGAAGGCTCTGGTTCAGTGCCCGGGGCGAGAAAGCATCTCCAGCCGCGTCCTGGGCCACGGGGCGGGCAGCAGCGAAACTTTGGCTAAGAGGCTGCAGTGCATTAGGAACCCGGCTATGAAGGTGAAGGAGGTCGGCCCATTTGCCGCCCTGCGCTCGCCTGGGGAAGCAATCGCCCGACACTGCCCGGCCCCAGGTGGACAGCGAGGCCAGACAGGTTGCCTGGCACGGTCACCGGGCCTAGTGCTGCAGCCGTGCAGAAGGTCAGTAAGGATGACAGTCGGGTCCCCAAGGTCAGCGGGGAAGGGGCTTCGCTGGAGAGGGGGGAAGTCCAGAGAATGGGGTTTGTTTGTTTAGCATCAAACAAAAGCGTTCCCAGGGAAAGGGCCAGGAGGTGGCCGGATGGGGAGGCAGAGGCTCCCACCTGTCTGACAATGGCCAGGAGCCCACGGGCAGGGGCCTCGTTTGATCTCCACCCAGGGCCCTTGATGCCGACATCTGGGGCTCTGCCCAAGTCAGGTCACCCTGCTGCTGCGCCCCTCATGGGACTCCCCAAGGCCATGTCACACTGCCCGGCGCCTCAGCCTCTTCCTCCCTGGTCCATAGCCGGAACAAACTGGCCTTGGGATGCGTTCTGCCTGGCCCCCACCCCTTGGTGGGAAACGGCTTGGCTGCCAGGCGGTGGCTGTGGGTCTCAGCTTCCAGCCCCCCGCAGTGGGTTAGACATCGGCCTCCAACAGTGACGAACAGGACATGAAAGGGCTCTCAGATAAAAGTGCTTTTACAAGGCCAGCCCTGCAGGGCTTCCGGGAATGGAGGCCTCGGAGGATCCTCCTGGCTGGTCAGGTCCAGGAGCCCAGGACTTCCTAGGGTACAGAAGGGGCCCTGCAGGCCCCAGGTTCAAAGCTCCGACCCCTGGTTCTGCTCTGTGTGCCCCTGGGAAGAGCCCTGGTGGTGCCTCCACCCTGTGCGCCTGACATGGGGACATGGCTTTCAGACTCGGCTTCCCCATCTGTGAAGTGGGGACGTGGCAGTGGATATCCAGGGGCACCAGCGTCAGGGTAAAATGGGGTACAGGTAGGCCCCCACAGTGCCTGGGTCTCAGAGCTGTCTATTGGCTCAGAGCCTGAGGTGGCGTGGGAGAGGTGGGCAGCAGGGAGGCCCCAGCCCAGGGTCACTGGGCCCTCCTCCCCCAAGGGGCACAGGCTCGGGTATGGTGGCCTCTGCAGGGCACTGCCAGCCAGCTCTGGCCTTGCTGTGTCCCCATGTCAGGCGCACAGGGTGGAGGCACGGCCAGGGCAGCCCCAGCACCAGGGACCCCTTCCTGTCATGCAGGGGCTGTTCAGATGCTCAGCTCTGGAGTCAGGAGGGCGCGGGGACAGGGCTTTCACTGTTTCCTGCATCAGCTGAGCAGTGTCCCACTAGCCACCAGGGCAGCCTCCTGCCTGGGCCACGGTGGACTTTTTGGGGACCCCTGTTGGGGCAGAAGCAGGGCTCCCCGCTCTGCAGGGGCTCCCCTGGCCGCTCTCTTTGTTCTGGCTGCGTCACCTCCTGCCCGCCTCTCTGGGGATGTCACCACAGTGAGGCCAGGGGCCTCACCCCACGTTCCCGTCACCCGGGCCGCGGGCGGGCTGGTGGCTCTGCCCCTCTGTGTCCCCAAGTCTGGGGCAGAGCTGGACTCCTGGCGGGCTCAGCCCACTTGGGAAGAAATGCACAAGTGAATGAATGAATGAACAGCCGGGCTGGCACGGACCAGGACAGAGGCCCCGAGCCGGCCAGGGAGGCCAGGGCCATCTGGGGAGGAGCTCGGACACTGTGGGGTGCTGTGGGGACATCAGGGGACCCGGGAGGAGGGGAGAAAGCCGGGAAATCCTGACACGAGTTCCAGGGTGAGGTTCACGCACCTCAAGCACATGGAGCTAGGAGAAATAAGCCAAGCACAGAATGCTGGTACTGCAGAGCTCCCCCGCGTGAGTCCAGAGTCAGGGAACGGGGTGGGGAGCCAGTGCTTAACGGGGCTGCAGTCACGGTTCCGAGGACACAGCGGCACGACAGAATGACTGTCCTCCATGTCACCGACAAATGTCTAAAAAGGCGGGTGTGGTGCAGGCTGTAACCCCAGTACGTGGGAGGCTGAGGCGGGAGGATCACTGCGAGTTCAAGACCAGCCTGCACCTCACAGTGAGACATAGTCTCCAAAAAAAGTCTTACATTTTAAAAAAGTCTAAGATGGTCAGTTTTGCATGATCTATTCCTTACGTCATTTTCTCACAGACGCAGTGTGCACAGACAAGTACCTTTAAACGGAAGAACCAGCACCCGGCAGGGTGCTCCTCGCTGCAGGAGGGGCCCATGTCCATGCTTTGAGTGACCATGGCGGGGGGACCTGGACGGCCTTCCTGGGTACAGTGGGGGCCTCGCTCTCCCGGCTCTCGTGGCCCCGACTGACCGCTGTGTCCTTGCTCTCAGGATGCGCAGGTGGCCCTGGGCCCCTTCGACCCCTCCTGTCTGCTGCCCGTCTGCCGGGACTACTGGACCTACGCAGGCTCCCTGACCACCCCGCCACTGGCCGAGTCGGTCACCTGGATCATCTACCAGAAGCCCATCGAGGTGGCTCCCAGCCAGGTGAGCGGCCAGCCCTGACGGGAGCGGTCAGGGACAGCACCGCCCTGGCCCACGCGCGTGCCAGGCAGGGCCTGACCGGGCAGCACCGATGCTCCCGGCTGGTCAGGGTGGAATCTGGGGGAAGGACAGAGGTGATGGGAAACGGGTCAGTCCTGGCCTGCAGCAGGGAGGCAGGAGCCCGGAAAGCCATGTCCTCGACACACAGCCAGGATGGCGCTGGGCCTGGCACGCACCAGGCCCCGGGTTCGGATTGTTGGGGGGCAGAGCAGACTTTAAATTCTGGCCCGCCTCTCCGAATGGTAGAACAGCATGAGGTGCAGGTGGCAGTGGTGCCCTCGCCAGCACTCTGAATAGTTACAAAAGAGTGTGTGTCCAGAGAACGGCTCCACAGCTGCACCAGTCAGCGCTGGCTTTGGGGTGCTGCGTAAGGAGCTGCACCAGACGCCACGGCGTACAGCAAGCTCTTCCTGCATTCTCGTGGCCCTGGTGGGCTGGGAGGCTCTGAGGCTCCCGTGGTTTACGGAGGCCTGGGACTGAGAATGAGGCCAGGCCGAGACCAGCCAGCAGCACTGCAGTCAAGGCCCTGCTTGCTGGCATCTTGAGGCTCTGTGGAAATCCAGTGTGGAGCCGGGGCGGTGCTGGTGCCGGGCGTTCTGGCCCCTGCCATTCACTGCAGGTGTGGTTAATCGACCTCCGCAGGGCTCCCTCTGCTTCTGTGGGAAACAGGCGCTGGGAGGACACTGCTGGGCCAGGGGGCACACCGGGTGGCACGCCGGGTGCTGTGAGGTGCAGATGATCTGCCCCGTCCCCGGCCAGAACCGTGACAGCAGAGGCCTGGGTGGGAAGCGGCCCCGGGCACTACCACAGGTGCCCGCACAGGTCAGGTCTGCACCAGGCCAGCCGCGAGCAATGATCCAGCCTCGGGGTGCGTCTGTGTGGCCGGAAGGCAGCTGCAGGGCAGAGTGCGCCCCTCGGGGCTGTGAGCGGTTCACCTGCAGGCTGAAGCTGGTGAAGCGAGGGACCCCTCAGGCCGCCCAGGAGACCGCTCGGGCCACAGAGGGATGCACGGGAAAGCGAGCGGGCTCTGGTTTCCCACCGTGAAAAGTGAACCAGAGGTTACTCCGGCATTTATGGTTTAGTTGTCCTTGGCGCCTTGGGGGCCTGGCTCCAGGACCCCTGCAGGTACCAACATCCGTGGGTGCTCACGTCCCTCAGAAGTGGCACATGCCAGGGGTGGTGGCTCACACCAGGCACCCTAGAGACTCGGGAGGCTGAGGCAGGAGGACCGGCCAGCAGTTCAAGTCCAGCCTGGGCAACTTAGACCCTCAAATTACAGAATAGAAAGGGCTGGAGGGGTAGCTCAGTACCCCCGGGTTTAATCCCCAGTACTAAAAGAAAAAAAACGGAGTGATATTTATATTTAACCCACGAACATCTTCCCAGATACTTTAAATCATCTCTAGATGACTTTTAATACCTGGTACAGTAAAGACTTCACGTAAATGGTTGTTACACTGCTTAGGGAACAATGATCTGAAAACAAGTCTGTGTGCATTTAGCAAAGACAGAGTTTTGGGAGCAGAATATTTCCCATCTGTGACTGGTTGACTCTGAAGACACAGAACCATGGCTATGGAGCACAGACTGTATTAGTAACCAGTTGCTGTGTAACAAATAGCCCCAAAGCTCTTCATCGAGTTATTAAGAAAACAACACTCATGTATGCTCTCTGGCCTCAGTGGTGGTGAACTGGGAGGGCCGAGGGCTGCTGGACCCTCCCATGGCTTCCCCCAAGCAAGTGGCCCTAAGCACCCCAGTGGAATCTGGGGGTCACCCAGATTCACTGCAGGCTCAGGCACAAGGAGCTGGGGACACCTGCACTGTGGTCACTCTGGCCACTTTTCCAGCTGGCCGCCTTCCGCACACTGCTGTTCTCTGCCGTGGGTGAAGAGGAGGTGGCGATGGTGGACAACTTCCGCGGGCTTCAGCCTCTGATGAACCGGGAGGTGCGCGCATCCTTCCAGGCGTTGAAGCACAAGCGTGGTCCTGACACCCCCGAGACCGCGTGAGCGGGCAGCGTGGACGTGGCAAGGGCAAGCACGGCCCCCGGTCGGTCTCCACATCCAGTCCCTCTGACTCCTGAAATAAATGGAACGTCCTTGTTCCCACCAAGTGCTTCCTGGTCTCCATAAAGGGGCCCCCTAAGGCCACGCAGGCACGAGATGGTGGAGTCTGGGACACTCGCGTCTCCAGGGCCTGGCCACAGCCGGGGCGCCACCCCCCCATAGCTCCGTGCTCCTTCCACATGTGGTCCCACTGCCTGCCACACTCTGTGCCCGGAGCTCCAGCGACACAGAGACTGGCGGTAACGTCGTGCTCCCCCACCTCCTCACCCTCGCTGGCACCTGTGCCCCAGGCCACCGCTGCATCCTCGCATCCTGGCCTGGTGGCTCAGGGTGAGGACGGACTCTGTCCACGGGGAGGGCTGTGGTGAGACGGTCGACACCGGAGCTGTGGGGCAGCCACCTTCCCTGTGAGCTGTCCTTCCTGCAGCCCAACCTCAGCTGTCACTGACCTCCGCTGTGTGTCACGGCTCCTCGCCTGGCCTGCTGCAGCTCTGGTACAGGACCCTGCACTTCCCAGGACGAGCTCCCTGTCCGGATACCCCTGAGTTAATGCCCTCTGTCACGCAAGGTGCAGGATCTGGACGCTGTCCTTGGAGCTGAGTCACTGCAGGCCACGGCCCCTAACTGGAGACCCCTGGCACTAGGCAGGGATGGTGTGAGGTGAGAGGGCCCCGAAGGACGGGAAGCAGCACCCACATCCCCCACGCATCCTCGGATGCCAGTTCCTGGCCCAGCTGACAGACTCGGGCCTCAGCGTCTCACTGGAGGCCCGTGCTGGGGACCCTCTCAGTGGGTGCATTCCCTCTCCTGCCACACTGACTCCTGTCCTGGGGCAGGCGCGGAGTTAGTGCCTTGGGACCTCTGCAAAGACTAGCCCTGGCTCGCAGCCCGGCACACGCCCTGCACCACCAGGGCTTCTCTCTCGGTCCCTGCCACGCGCCCCTGCTGGAAGGACCTCCCCGGCCTCCCCGTATAAACCACCACCCCACCTTGGGGCAAAGAGTGTTCTGCACCCACCTAAATACGTATTTTGTGAACACGTGGGAGTCCCATTCCACCACAGGAGGGCCCCCCGAGGTCCCAGCGTGAAGCAGAGGGGCCCCGGGCCCGGCCCTGTCGCGTGAGCCTGGCTCAGGTCTGCCATTGGCCAGGGATCGTCCGTCCAGCCCAGCAGGTGCCCTTTTGGCTCATCTTACCTAATCAGAAAATATACAGGGGCTGGGGATTTAGCTCAGCGGCATAAGCGCCTGCCCTGCAAGCAGGCAGTCATGAGTTCGATCCCTGGTACGGATAAAAACAAAAAAGACAAAAAAAAAAGAAAATATACAGCATCCACATCCACCCCTCCCAACCCACACAGCCACTCTGTTTCCCTGCAGCAGCGCATGCCCTCCCCAGGGGGAGACGCACAGCCCCTCATGGTGCTGTCTGGGGATGTCCCATGTTTGGATTCCCACATCTGGAAGTCAAGGGGACACCGTGCTGTCTCCCAGGCCCAGCACACGTGCTCCTTCACCGGGGGAGATGGACAGCACATTCTCACCAAGTCCGCAGACAGCACCCAGAAGTAATGCACACCTGTGCACCCCGGTGGGTTTGCCTGGCAGGGCTGCAGCCTTCTCCCCCAGGGCCAGGACTCCCTGTGGGGTCAGCAGCCCACAGCCAGGGAGCCTGGTGGGGAGCGCAGAAATAGCCCCTGCTGGAGGGGCAGCGGGTGAGGAAGGCCGTGGAACTGGTCCTGTGCCCGGGCAACAGCTGATGCCATGTGGCTGTAGCTGACCAAAGAGCACTGGACAGACAGATGGCTCTGCCCCACAGATGGGCAGGGAGGAGCTACTCCTAGCTTCAGCTGGGACCCCAAGTCCTGGCCATTTGGGAAATTCACCCGCTTGTGTCTCTGGTGATGAGGGCTTGGTCACAGGCCCATGCTCAGTGGTTTCTGACAGATGCACTCGCAGAAGTCTGAGATTTTTCTCACCACGCTGAGGTCGGAGTGTCAGTGGACAGCTCCTCCGGGCTCAGGGGACCTGCTTCCTCACCCTTGCCCACTGCGAGGGTCCTAGCACCACGAGGACTGTCACCTCCTGGGACAAGTGCGGGAACTGGTGAGGCCATGGGGACAGGAGGCACCAGTGCACAGGAGGCGAGGGGCTGCAGGAAGACAGGGCAGAGGAGGGAATCCAGGGTGTCGCTGGAGTCACTCAGCGGCTGGCCTGATCCTCGCCTGAGCATCGTGACACGCACCTGCAGCGGGGTGACCAGAAGCCTGCTCTCCGCAGAGGCCCGTGCTGTGCTGTGTCCCCAGCAAAATGTTTAACAGCATTAGGGAGCCTGGCCTGGGATCCGAGGACTCAGGGGAAGCCTGGTGCCCCTGTTGGGCTCCCTGCGGGCTCCCCTCTGACGGCCAAGGACTTAGGAGTGCTGCAGGCTGCACTGAGACCAATGCCGTCCTGCGCCTCCGGCCCCACGTCTCCCAGGTGCAGAGCAGAGCATCTTCCTGCCATGCCGTGACACTCGGTGCCCACAGGCCACGTCCTCCGGGGAAGCCCTGCACCCAAAGCCTGTCAGAACGCAGTCACAGCTGCCAGGGACAGGGAGGCACGGCGGGCACAGGAGCCCCGCTACCCCTTGGCTGCTGTGACCAGGTCTTTGTGAGTTCACCGAAGCCCTCCTCCTTCTACGGGGAAACTGAGGCTCACACTCCCAGGCAGCAGGCCCAGCAGCATTGGGCTCCTGCCCCTCCGACTGGTACAACTGTACATTCAGAAACAATATGGAGACTGCGTGGAGTGTGCCCGAACTGTGCGCCGGAGAAGGCTGCATGCACAGCCTGCAGGGTGAGGACACCAGGACAGGACTGCAGGCGGGGTGCGTGCAGGGGAGCCCCATTCCTGGGGACCTCAGGCCAGAGAAGCAAGGCCGAGCACCGCCCGTGGGCCCCGCTCTCCCCAGGATGTCCTTTGTCTTCTGAAAATGTCCTCTGTCACTATTTTTAATGCTGGCATCGGAGCTGAGACACACGACACACCCCGGGAAGCAGCCTGGCCCTCAAAGCGCCCACTGCAAACAAACACGGCAGCCTCCCCTGCCCATTGTGTCCCACAACTTCTGGCTCTGCTTTTAAAGTCCCAGGCTTCCTGCCTGGCTTTTATGTTTTTTCTCGCTTTGTGAAAACACAAGGACCGAGGACGTGCGCGTGTGAGAACACACCCTCGCCTGCTGCCGCCAGCACAGCCCGGTTCCGCTCCGCCCGCTGCCCAGCAGGTCGCAGGCGGCGTCCCCACCCACCTGGCCCGAGCACCGAGCAGGGGCACCACCACCACCGTGCTGCCCAGCACGCGGGGTCCCCTCCTGGGCGCACCTGACCCCAGCGTCTCCCTGAGGAAGTAGTCGGGCTTTCACCTGCTGGGCCCCACTGGGTGTCTTCACAGGAAACAGCTCCTCTGGCCGCCCAGAGCAAGCTGGACTCAGGGAGGCCCCACGGGGTCCCCTTAGCCCATACCCACTGTGGCCAGGCATCTGAGAGGCCTGCTGGCAGCACCCCAAAACCACCGCATCTGCAGGATCCCTGGGGCAGCCTGACTCCCCTCACCTCTGGCTCAGTCCCTTCCCCGAGGCCTCTCCGAGTCGCAGGCAAATCACCTTCCCGGGACTGGGCCTGGGCCGGGGTAGGTGCTGTGGATTACAACTGGTGGTCAGTTTAACACCAGCTGAATTAAATCAGCATGGTGCTGAGCATAGATGGCCCAGCTGATGAAAGCTGCCAGCATAAAAAAGACCCAGAGAGGAAGAGGGGTGCGTTGTGGGTTTCTCTAAGTGTGGCTGTTTGAGCCGTTGGTTCTTTTTTTTTTTTCAGTACCAGGGATCGAATTCACAACTGCCTGCTTGCAAGGCAGGTGCTTATGCCGCTGAGCTAAAAATCCCCAGCCCCTGAGCCATTGGTTCTACTGGAGGCACTCGTCATGCTGGCTTCCCCAGTGTGAGTTCCACCATTGTCACTGGAGGAGTTTGGAACTTTGGTGAGAATGGCTGTGGTTCACTTTGGGGCAGCTCTGGTCCTCACACTGACCATCACTTCCGGGCTCTGGACGGGAAGACGTGTGCTGTTTCATCTCCAGAGAAGCTCGTCACACTGGCTTCCTGGCATGTACTCAGCCGTTCTCGTCATCAGAGGAGCTCGGGACCTCCGTGTCCCCGGGGATGGCTGTGGTGCTTTTCAGGGCAGCCCTGGGCCTTATGCTGAGCATTGCTTCCCGGCTCCAGTGTAGAACCCTTAACCTACAGCACAGCTCTTTAACCCTGCTGGCATGGACTTTCTGGCTTCCACTGCTGACCTCTGGGCCTTCCCAGCATGGATCCATAAACAGACTGGTGTGAGTCCTTCTTGTGGGCGGCACTGTCATAGGCTCTGGTCTTCAGCTGGACTCATGCAGGACATTGCTGTGGGATCCAAGCCCTTGGCTGAATATTCTGGGCCCTTCATGTTGTGCACAGATTTCCTGCACCTTCTTGTGTTTAACTCTGGATGACCCCCATAAAATAATTCTGTGTCCTGACTGCAGCTCTCCTCACAACCCTGACTACAACAGGGGAGCTCCAAGAAACCTCGATTTGACCACGATGTTTCCTCTAGAACTGAGGCTTCTCATCGGACCAGAAGACAAGCAGCACTCCTTCGGTGCCACCTGGGGGAGCCACCTGCACACCTGACACAGGAGCCCAGATCAGGGGTGGGGCGTCAAATCCAGGTGTCCCACCCAGGTCCTTGCCCAGGAAGGGGTCCTGCATGTGGCAGCTCCAGGTGAACGCCAGGGGGCCCCCAGCAGCCCCCAGGGGAAGTCACATGCAAGCAGGTGTGCGCTGCAGGGGTGGGGACAGTGGGGGACCCAGCTGAGCCCAGGAGGGGGCAGGGCGGCCTCGCTGAGGTGTTGGCATCTGGGCTGAGATGTGCACAGGGTGAGTTAGGAGCTCGGCGTGGCCCAGGCGGCACGGCAGGAGATGTGATGGTAGGTGAGAGAGGCAAGGCCAGTCTGGAGCTGGGCCCCCGTGACTGAAGTCCACGGGCTGAGGGCAAGGCAGGTGCTGGGCCCACAGCCACGGGCCGACTGGCCGAGCTGGCAGTGGCGAAGGCCGTGGGTGGGAGGCAGAACACAGGTAGAGGGAAGGGGTCTCCTTTGACATGTCTCTGACTCTGCTCAGATCCCTTCAATTAGGACCAAGCACGGTGTGGCCACAGGACTGACCACCTTGCTGTCCCTGCCCCCGTGGCCGCCAGGGTCCTCGGCATGCCTCGGCGTGCAACTGAGGCTGCCATCACACAGCCTCTGTGAGTCTGTCTGCAGGTGGCCATCCTCAGGGGCACTGGTCACTGGCTCCAGGCCTGTCCTACCCCAGGGTATCCTCTCCCGACCTGCATGTGCAGTAGACACAAGGGATGAGGGCCTCCGCCTGCCACTTTGAGGGATAACATTCAACCTGTGACAGTGGCGGGAGGCAGGAGCCACTTCTCAGACGGGTCCGAGCCACAAGCCGCAGAAAGGCCCCGGGGGCACCATCGGGGAAGGACTAAAGACCCTGGGCCATTCTTGGCTTGTCCATCAGCCCTGGGGGTAACTGCCCGCCCCCGGAGAAGCCCTGAATTCACAGCTGAGCCCTGGCAGGAGGATGGTTCGCTGTGGCTGGAGATAGGCGGGCGCTACCACCCAGGGGTGCCTGGGCACGTGCTGGGCAGATAGCTGGAGGGGCGGGGGACGGAGGGAGGTGTGTGTGGCAGGCGGTGCTGGCTGTGACACAGACTCCCCACCACAGAGGCCCCAGCTGCACCCGCAAGCAGGAGGTACTGGCTTCTCAGAAGAGAAAGCTGAGGCAGAAGCGGGCCTCCTGGAGCCTGGGCCACTCTGCAGGGCTCAGGGCGGGACTCCCAGACAAGGGCACCGGGAGCAGTGGACACCCCACAGACGCAGGGAGCCCCGCTCAGCGAGCCACCTCCGCAAGCCGGAACTCACACCATGCTTTCATTCTGCTCAGGCCCCAAGCTATAGAAGCCATACATCACTGCACCCCAAATGTGCCTAGTAAAGACTACAACCCCAGAAGGTGGTCATCGAACCCACTCCTGCTGATGAAAGGATGTGGATGCCAGGTGTGATGGCCCACACCTGGGATGCCAGCTACCTGGGAGGCTGAGACAGGAGGGTTGTAAATTTAAGGCCAGGCCAGATGGTTTGCTGAGAAGTTGACTCAAAATTTTAAAAATAAAAAGGGCTGGGTGTAGGTCAGTGGAAAGGCACTCGCCTAGCATGCCCGAGGCCCCGGGTAAGGAGACCAAACTTCTCTGTCCCCAGGCCCAAACTACCCACGTCAGAAGAGGGAGCAAAGTGGGCGACGGAGTCCTCTCTCCCCACAAGCAGCAGAAGCCAAGGCCGAGCGTGGACAAGGAGACATAGCCCTTATCTGCTGCTTGGTAGGGTTTCTTCAACTTTGGGACCTGTGAGGGGGTTTAGAGAGATCAGCAGAAAACAAATATGCCTGCTGAGAACAACCAGAAGTGTAAGGAGGCCTGGCCAGGCGGTGCACGCCTGCAATCCCAGCACTCGGGAGGCTGAGGCAGGAGGACTGCTGTAAGTTTGAGGCCAGCCTGGGCTACATAGTGAGTTCAAGGCCAGCCCGAACTGACCCTGTCTCAAAAAGCCAAACAAAACAAGAATCTGGAAAACATCTGGCAGTGTAACGCTAGACGGCACGGATGCAGGCAGAAACGGCCTGTGCCTGTCTGTGTGCTGCCCCAGAACACACCCCGTGGCTCCAGGGGCTCCCCAAGGAGCTGCGTCTGCCACTCCTGACACCACAGCCTGGGAAAACATCTCCCCCAGAAGAGGTGGCCAGCCTCACTACACGAGCCCCGAGGGACACATGCTCCAAAACACGGCTTTCCCAGACTTCCACGCACAGAGCAGCGTGCACTGCCAAGCAGACTTCCAAGGCACGACTTGGCGGGGCTACGTGCACCCTGTGGGCTGAGCGGCACTTACCAGAGCAGGTCTGCTGGACAGCTCGTTCATTTCCAGCATCTGTCCTTGGCCTTTATTTATTTTTTTTTTTTTTGTCTTTTTCATTTTTATCGGTACCGGGGATTGAACTCATGACCGCCTGCTTGCAAGGCAGGTGCTTATGCCACTGAGCTAAATCCCCAGCCCCCTGTCCTTGGCCTTTGAAGCTGGAGTAAATAAGCACACAGCCAAGACACCGCACACAGCCAAGACACCGCACACACGCGCATCCCCGGGGAGCTCCCCAGAGGCACAGTGACTTCCCAGAGGGAATGCACAGTCGGGAGGCTTCTGCAAAGCCTGCCAATTTCCAGCCGCAGAGGAGCTTTGGCCGCCGCGGGAACCCAGGATGCTTCTAATGAATGAGAAGCTCCGACCAATAGATGGCACTCCTCGCAAAGATTTTAGAGTATGAAGCTGAGCAAAGCAACTGGGGGTGCCTGCTCAGGCCAGGGAGGCTGCGATACACAGGGGAAGGATGGTGGGAAGATACCGTGAGGGCTTGATTTTAAAAACTCATCGCAGTAAAGGCACATTCCCAAGAATGATGAGGTAAATGTGTTCAAAGTGATCAGGAGCACTTGAGGAGAATTAATAGCAATGTGGCTTTTATTGTAACTTTTTTTTTTTTTTGGTCTTTTTGAAACACGGTCTCACTATGCAGTTCAGGCTGGATTTGAGCTCACTCTGTAGCCGAGAGGTCTCGAACTTGCAACGATCCTCTGGCCTCAGCCTCCCAAGTGCTGGGATGACAGGCATGCATCCCTGCCCGGCTGTAATACAAATTTTAATAACATTAACAGTAGTTTATGACGGCCCCTTGTTGAGCAAATGTTTATGGCAATTTCTGTCAAATTAACAGGACACTGTGCCCTTGTCCACATTATTCACTGGATCTGACACCATGTGACTTCTGGCTCTGCCCCAAAGTTAAACTGACCATGAAAGGTCAACATTTTGAATCAGTCCAGGGACTGGAGGCAGCCGTGACAGCACATGAAGCCTCTCATGAATCCAAGCGTGGTGGTACAGGCCTACAGTGCCGGTACTCGGGAGGCTGAGGCAGGAGGATTGCCATATGGTTAGCATCAGCCTGAACTACATAGTGAGAGACAACCTGCCTCAAAAAAAAGCAGCCACTCGTTAAGTGAGAGAATATTTACCATATATACATTTTCATAACATCCGTACATACTGAAGCCGATGTGCTGGAAGAGAACTGGGAGCCATGTAGCATACGCCTGTAATCCCAGCACTTGGGAGGCAGAGGCAGGAGGATTGCTGGGAGTTCGAGACCAGCCTGGGCTACAAAGTGAGTTCAAGGCCAGCCTGAATTGCATAGCGAGACCCTGTCTCAAAAAGACAAAAAATAAAAATGAAAAAGTGCAAAAGAAAAATAAAGAAACCTAGAACTTACCGTGAGGAGCAGTGAGGATCAGAGCTGAGTGGCAGCTGGGTCCCCAGGGTGTGCCCTTCCAGCACAGGTCCCAGCGCCGTCCAGGCCCGTGGCGGTGAATGGCTCCTTCTGCCTCCCTCTCCCTCGCTCACCCTGGACTCTCACAGTGCCACTCTGGAAGCCCCCTTGTGCCCGGCTGGCTCCCAACGGCAGGCTCCCTCGGCCTCTGCGGGGCCCTCGGCTTACTGGGGCTGCCCGGGGGCCCTCCATCCCATCCATCCCCTCGCTGGTCACCTCTTGCTGCTCCTGTCAAAGCTCCTAAGGCCCTGGCTTCTGTGCCCTGCAGGTGACCACAGCGCGAGGCAGGAGTCAGCGTGCAACCTTGCCAAATGGCAGGCTGTGATGAAACCGAAACACTCACTGGCAGAGGCCGATGAGCAGCTGAATGACTAAACCACAGAGAGAGGGTGGCCCAAAGGGGCCCGAGGATTGGGGCCAGAGAGATGGGGTTCCAGCCTGCATGCTGGCCAGACAAGTCCTCCAATTGGAAGTCTCAGTTCCCCATTGATTATGGGGCTCTGAGAAGTGGCGTCTGCCCCGTTAAAGGGTCTTTGCCCTTGAAGGTACAGTTGTGGAGAGCCAGGGCGGGAGAGCGTCTCTGTCACCTCTGCAGCTAGTGCTGAGCTTTGCTGTCTTCCTCAGCCATCATCTTGGGCCACAGGCAGGGCTGGACGTTTGTGTGGCCTTTCATCTGCCCTGCCACTACAGTGCGGGCCACGGGGAATTCCCATGGTGTTATCAGTGTAGACGAGGGGCCGGTGCATAGGGGCGGGAGCGGACCTGTCCTGGCGGTCTTCTGCCAAATGTGCCCACAGTGGGGCCCGCAGACACCCGGAGGCACCTGGGCTGCAGGAGGGGTCGGAGGATGAGCACAGGCAGCCTCCTTCCCCTGCTGGGCCTGGATTCCTGGCCCACTCTACAGCTCACCTTGCTGTGGCCACCAGGCTCAGCCCTCTCACACCGACCCCTGGGACCCTGGCAGACACCAAGCATGTGGCGAATGGGGGCTGTGCCTCCCAACCCTCGGCCCTCCCCCACGTGCCCATCACTCCTGTCCTACAGTGTCCAGGCCCAAGATGACCACGCCAGCTGGCACTCCCTCTTCTGACTTCTGACTGCGTTACCTGAAGCCTTTCTTGCCCAAGATCCTGGGCAAGTTCCAAGAATGACAGCCCAAAGCCCTCACCCTGCAGGCTGCCTCCAAGCTCCCCAGCTAGGCTGGGGTGGACCTGACTCTGGCTCCTCCCTGGACTGTCCATCTGTTGATCTATCCAGCCCTTCTTCCCCAAAGCCTGAGGCTGCTTCTCGGAGTTCTGTGCCCCAACTCCCCAGTCTTTGGCAAACTATCCCTCCCTGCCTGACATGCGCATCTCTGAGTCCAGGCCTGTCCTTCCACGCTCTCTGGGCTGTGAACCACCACCCCACGACACAGTCAGTCCCCTGGCCAAACCCAACCAGGATAATCTGCCCCAGGTATCCTTATCTCCTAGGTGGAGGGGACAAGCAGACCGGTTGGGGGGGCTGGTGCGCCCTTTCAGCTCAGCCCATCCGGGACAACCGCTGGGCTTCCTGGAGTCCGCGGGAGACAGGCACCTTAATCCCCTCGCGGAGGTGAGAGGAGGAGGGGCGCGCGCTGGCTCCCAGGCGGCTGAGGTCGGCACCAAAGATGGGCACGAGCGATGAAGAAGCGGGCCAGGAGTTCCCGAGGCTCCGGAGCTGCCGGAAGCTCCACGTGCTCTGAGCAGGCCGGAGCCCGGGGCGGGGCCGGGGGCTCGGCAGGGCGGGGCCAGTGCGCTGGAGCCAATGGCGCTGGTGGGCGGGGCCTCGCGGCTGCCCAACGGGGGCGACAAGTGGGCGGGGTCAGCGGGCGTGGCTATAAAGGCCCAGCAGGCCCAGGGGCACGGGCGCAGTAGAGCGGTGGGGCCCGCGGTGTTCATTTGGTGCGGCGCGCCCGGTGTCCAGGCCCGGCCGGCGGCGAGCATGGCGGGCGCGAAGCGGCGCTCCGTGGCAGCCCCGGCGGCGGCGGCCGAGGAGGAGGAGCAGCAGGCGCGGGAGAAGATGCTGGCGGCGAAGCGAGCCGACCCCGCCGGGGAGAGCGAGGGCGTGACCCTGCAGCGTAACATCACCCTGCTGAACGGCGTGGCCATCATCGTGGGTACCATCATCGGCTCGGGCATCTTCGTGACCCCCACGGGCGTCCTCAAGGAGGCGGGCTCCCCAGGACTGGCGCTGGTTGTGTGGGCCGTGTGCGGGGTCTTCTCCATCGTGGGTGCGCTCTGCTACGCTGAGCTGGGCACCACCATCACCAAGTCGGGTGGCGACTACGCCTACATGCTGGAGGTGTACGGCTCGCTGCCCGCCTTCCTCAAGCTCTGGATCGAGCTGCTCATCATCCGGCCCTCCTCACAGTACATCGTGGCTCTGGTCTTCGCCACTTACCTGCTCAAGCCACTCTTTCCCACCTGCCCGGTGCCGGAGGAGGCCGCCAAACTCGTGGCCTGTCTCTGCGTGTGTGAGTAGGGGACACCCCGGGGGAAGATGGGCAGCTGTGGTCCTGGGTCCCTGGTCCCAACGCCTAGCATCCCTGCGACCCCGCCTCCCTGGACCATAGGAGACCGAGGTGTCAGGTGCCAGAAACTGGTGTTTCATTCATTCTATCAGCTCGGGGCCCCTGCGAAGACCTGAGTGAGCGGGTTGGAGTCTGGGCCGAGATCTTAGTGAGCGGTGTGCTTCCCGACTTACAAGCAGTGCCACCCGCAGGCAGGGCGGCTGAGCAATACTCAGTGTATGTTGCGAGGGCCCACGTGGAGTGACTGGAGGCAGTTTCCTGTTTCCGCTGCAGTTCTGATTGGTTAAGATACTGCAGTTTAAAAAAAAAATCATTCATTTCTGTTTTCCAGACCAGCCTATCAGGACGTGGACAGGCTGACTCATAAGAAAATTGTAGTAATAAAATTGTGTGTGTGGGAAAGGTTGCTCACTTAGGCCCAGCAGCAGGGTTGAATCCCTCTTCCCCAGCAGCAAGGGCAGGTTGGTGGGCACAGTGCTAGCTGGCCAGAGAATTTGCTGCTGCTCTGCAAAACAAAATTGCAAAAACAGTGTTCTTGCATGATTTCAGGGTTTTTAAAAGTCAGTTGTATCAAACGCTACCTGGTTGGTTTTGTTTTGTTTTGTTTTGGTTTTGGCTTTTGGCAATTCTCAAGCTTTTGGACAGGCTCGGACTGTGCTTTCAAAATTCATACTGCAGGCACTGGCCACCCAAGACCTGGATTCACTTGTTTGCGTTAAAGCTGCCCGGATTTAAGCTCCAGCTGTCTCTGGGTAGTGTACACAATTACAAGGCTAACAGGGTTACACTTGCCTTTGTGGACTAAGCAGTGATTTAGTACTTGGAGCCCAGCAGCTCCTCGCTGGCAGTGGTACCCGCGGTGCTGTGCACGCTGGGAGGTGTGGACCAGCTCAGCCAGTCTCCCTGCACTCAGAGGCAGGGTGATGTGGGACCAGAGCCAGCCGCACTCTGCCGAATCAGAAGCCTTCCTGGGCAGACGAGACTGGCACCATTATGAGGAGGGCATGAGTAGGCAGACGGGTGGCTTCTGGGTGCATTGTGGAAGACAGTCCTGAGGGGTGACCCCCTGGGCTGTGTAAGGAAAGAAACAGGCCTCCGACAGAGAGATGGCTTTGCCTGTTTTGTCTTTAGGGAATTTTAATTGTTGAATTCCCGTCACCTCGTGATGGTGTGTAATGGGTCGGCCTGGCCGGTAAGGGTGTGGAACTCTTTAGAGGGCCGCCTCTCGCCCGGGAAATGGACCCTGAAAGCTGGGGGGCTGAGCTCCCAAGTCACCAGCAGCACTTGGGAAGTACTGCTTTGGCCAAGGCAGGTAGCGTGCGGCCAGCTGTGAGCTAGTTAGAGTTCTTTCTAGTGAAAAGCCAGCTAGCCCAGGACTACGTGGGCCCGGTGATGCATCTAGGAGCTCTGAGACCCTCTTCCTCCTCCTCTTCCCCACCCTGGGCCAAGACTGCACGACTGAAATGTGGCTTCCAGAGCCTTCTTTACAGAATTTGCTCTTTACCGTGTCAGTTGGATGCGTCTGTCTCCTTGTACAGTTTGTTTTCCAGCCGGAGGTGGAATGCCCACCTTCCTGTGCTGTGGCCGCTGTGGGTTTTCAGCGCTGGGGACGCTTCACTTAGGGCTCCAACAGGTGTGCTCACCATCAAGGTTCCAGCCTCGAGAAAACAGCAGATGGGGTGCGCTGGACTCTAATGCCACAGCCACAGCACCTTTCAAAGAACCTGTTCAGGCCAAACATTTGTGGGCTCCACACATCTTTAAATTAGAAAGCTTTCGCAGGAGCTGAGGATTTAGCTCAGTGGCATAAGCGCCTGCCTTGCAAGCAGGCAGTCGTGAGTTCGATCCCTGGTACCGATAAAAAATGAAAAAGACAAAAAAAAAAAAAAAAAAAGAAAAGAAAAGAAAGCTTTCGCACACATCTCATAAGTAGCTTTTGAACAGTCCTCGGGGCCCCACAGGTGAAGGCCCAGAGAAAGTCCTGCATGGAAACCCCCCACAGGGTGCAGATGTGGGGTTCAGAGTCAGTCGGTATTCCTTCCTATGCAGGAAGGCCAAACTTTGCCAGGGCCCCTTTGCCCTCTGTTCACGTGTATGTGCCACTGCCTCGTTATTGAAACAAAGATCTGCAATGCAGAAAGGGACAGGTGGTCCACAGGAGTGGTCAGCACCTGCCTGGGCCATATGAGAGAGGCTGCATCCCAGTGCCAGGCCCCAGCCAGGGAGGGAGGACCCTGGGGCACCGCCAGTGATGCTGGCACCACCCATGGGAGGGTAGACAGGGCATCTGAGAAGCTTCAGGTATGTGCAGCCTCTCAGGCAGAGGGGCAGCTCAAGCCCTGACCCAAGGACAGCTATGCAGGGCGTGGGGAAAGTTTCCAGCATTCAGCAGGGGCCGCTGCTCCTGAGGAGAGAAGAGCTTCAGTGTATCTTGGTCACATAGGAAATGGGTCCCAGAATTTCTCCTTAGGAAGGGAAAGGCCAGGCCATACCCCACACTTCCTTGAGCCTGCTCCTCCGCTGGGGCCACTCGATGACTGGGTACCTGGCCGCAGGGAAAGGTCAGGGCCACACAGGAGGCCTGACTCAGCCTGAGTTCTGCCAGGATCTTTTCAGCCCTGGGGCCATCCCTCTGCTAACCTCTCTGTTTGCTAAAGACAGGCTGGTGAAATGCTTGGCTGGCCCTGCTCAGTGCGTGGGGTGGCCCTGCAGACAGGAAAGGTGGAGAAAACGGGTTCTTGGAGTCTGGCACTGGGAATTAGGGCTGAGGTCCTTTTCGCAATGTGTCTTGGGTGCATTTTTGTTTTTTATTGGTCCTAAAGATGAGCACGTTGCTTAAGGGGATGCATTGTTGCTTAACGAGAATCTAAAGGGCTTACGTGGACTACAAGTGATGACAGATTTTACCTACAAAAGACGCACAGATTAAAGCCTGAGGTTCTGGCTCAGCCAGGGTTTAAACAGGCATCTTGCCCTTCCCTGGCCCTGCTCTGTCTATACGCTGCTGGGCGCAGGGAGTCTCTCACTGGGACACCAGCATGGGACGGCTCCTTCAGCTCCTATCCCTCCAGGGAGGAGCTCTTGGACTGAAGGATCGGAGCAGGCTCTCTGCCACCTGGTGTCCCCTACCCAAGCTGGAGGTGTCAGAGACCTGGCCTGCAGACCAGGGTCCCTCACATGCAGACAGGTGACCGCTGCCTCTTGCTGCTGTGAGTGGAGGCTGAGACCCTGCCTGCCGGGACAGCCACCAGGATTGACCTCCTGTTGTGACCCAGGGCAGACAGTGGATTCACAGAACCCTCATCTCTGGCCGCTGCCAACCAGAGAGATGATGGCGAGCTTGCCTGGGCTTCTAGCTAGGTCTCCTGCCCCCGCCTGCCCCTCCTCTCCGGGTGAGGGTCGGTCCAGGCAGTGACCCTTCCTGGCCGTTGTGTATCTGGGTACCTGTGATCTGTGTAGAGAAGGGCCTTGTCCCAGCCCTGCATGGGTGTCGCAGAGGATTAGGCCAGGCAGAGGGTCAGTCATGTGATATCTCCCCCCTCCCGCCCCCACCGCGGTGGGGCAGCCCAAGGCTGGTGCTGTGTTCTCAGCAAAGACCAGGAGAGAAGGGAGCCAAGACAAAGGCCAGGTGTGTCCCTGCCCTGAGCTGGGCCCCAGTGTGACCCACGCTTGGTGACAGGATCAATGCAAACTACCAAAGGGTTTGGGGGTCTCGTTGAGGACCCGGGCAGCTGAACTGAATCCCCAACATCAGTTGTGATAGATAACCATAGAGGGGCCTAGGATGTGGGGGTGCTTTGGGCGCCCTGGTCTCCTGCTGGTCTCCTGTGGACCCCCCTCTAAGCCCAGACCTGTCCCTCGAGCCTGGGGTGCCTGGACACCTGTCAGCCTCCCCTGCAGGGACCCTGGTGAGCCAGAAGTCCTGATGTTCCCAGGGCGCGTGGCTGCCCTGCATCTGCAGTGCATACTCCATGCAGCTGACAGCCTGGTAATTAGCCTGAAATCCGGCTTTCCTAGCAGCCATGCAGGGGCAGCAGGCGCCTGAGTGGGTCACACCCAGTCATGGGGCCAGCCTGGGCCTGTGGGGCTGTTCCCAGAGCGCGTGACCCCCAGGCTGGTGGGAGATAGGCAGGCATCTGTGCCCCCTTCCTTCCGGGTCACAGAGCCAGGGTAATCCCACAGGAGGTGCAGGATCACTGCCAGAACGGCAAGGCAGGTGCCTTCTCCCCACGAGATGGTAGGCAGGCCCCGTGGGCCCGGCTGGGCCAAAGCTGCCTGCACAGCACGTGCTCAGATAGCACCCTGGCCTCTGGCATCCACAGAGCCACCCTCTCCTGCAGCTGGGAAAACTTCGGTGGAAGCGGGCAGGGAGCTCAGAGTCCTGGCACCACCTCCGTGCTGACCACTTTGTCCTCAGGCATGTGGACCTCCAGTGTGCCTAGGGTACCTCAGTGGCCCAGTAGTGCAGAGGACCAGCTGCATTCTGGGCTCCTTGGGGAGCGCTTCCCTCCTCTCCTGTCCTCTGAGCTTCCTGTTGAAGTTCACCAAGCTCCAGGACAGCCACCTGGCTCTGCCACCTTGTCCTGTACACCTCCAGACACACTCATCACCTGCAGGCCCCAGGCAGCACCCATTCCCCTCCACTGCTGAGTTCTCCCATGGCACCCACGCCCCGTGGATCCTCAAAGCTCATGGACTCTGACTGAGGAGGCAGGCCGTGCCGCTATGTGAAGCGGAGGCACTGACTTCCCAACTGGCCCTGGGGCACGTGCACGCAACCTGATCTACGCTGAGGCACCCTGGCCTCGGGGACCGTGCACCAGGCCCCTGTGTGAGCTGCTGTGAGTGGCACCGGTCACCAAGACTGGCTCCGCGTTTTGTCCAGAGCTGCCACGGCTGGCCTGAGATCTGCCTTTGGCTCCCGCTGGCCTCTGGACAGGCTACTAGGCTGGCTGCAGAAGACGAGCCTGCAGTGGGTGTCAGTAGGTCTCCTGTAGAGCCTTTGTCGGTCTCAGGGCCCCCGGAGAATCCTGAGCCAGGATCTGGCTCTGTCCTTGAACTCTGAATCCCTCCGGCTACGTGACCAGGCTGAGTGCTCTGCCAGAGTCCAGAAGTGGGAGCAGGCCCTGTCAGAGGGGTTCGAGGGGCTGGTGAGCACGTCCCTGGCAGGCAGAGAGCGTGGGAGCCTCCTGGAGCTGCTGCTGGCAGTGGCCCAGGGCTCAGCACCCCACGGGCCGGCTGCTACTGCTGAGCTGCTTGAGGCCTGCCGGGAGCTGGCTGCTCCTCTTAGCTGAGAGACGCCCGGCTCCGCACCTGAGGCCCTTCGGGCTGGGCGAGGCTGGGGGCTCTGTGTCCCAAACAGCTGTGCAGCTTCCCCGCCCTGCCCCACAGACACGCTGGGCGCTGGATGCACCGCAGCCAGCCGGCTCTTCCATCTGCTGTACTGATAAAGCACCCTGGGAGCCCCACCCTCCAGCCCCACTGCCCAGATCTGGGCCACCAGCCAGTTGTGGGGTGCCGTCTGCATGGTCCTGGGGCTTCTTCACAACAGCTGGGCCTTGACAGGACTGGGACTAGGAGACCTGTGTGTCCGTCTCCGAGCCCTGCCCACTCCAGCCACCACATGCTGGTGTCGGGCTGGGACTCTGTGACTTCCCTGTACCCCACAGGACGCACCTGGGCAGGTTGAGCCTTTTCCTCCCTGGAGCACAGGCTTTGGAGTCGGGGTGCGTCATGGGGTGCAGACGGGGAGGCTCTGTACGAGCTTGCGACAGAGACTCCTTATCACCTGTGCACAGCCTCAGTGCTCCATGGTGACTGTCAGGTGATCGGGTGCTGTGGGACGTGTGCGTGTGGCTGCCCCTCCTGTATGTGCAGGAGCGAGCGGGCCCGGAAGGGTGAGGAGCTGGCCCGGGGTCCCAGCCTGGCCGAACTCTGGTGCCCGAGACCAGCTTTGGTACCAGGGACACTTCCACCAGGAGGCCCCTGGTAAAGGGGTCACTGCCCAGGGGCCTCCTCCTGTACCCTGGGGTGGGACGTCAGCCACCCATGGACTGGGTTTAACCTGCCTCTTTCTGGCCTGTAACGAAGACTGTGGCAGCTGTGCTCTGGACAGTCACTGGGACCCCACTCTCGTGCCTTCGGGAGCTGCGTGTGTTCGGTTAGAAACAGAAAGGACGTCAGGGGCAGTGCGGTGAGCACGTGGCCGGGGTTTCACCCACAGCCCCGAGGAGAAGTGACAGCAAAGTGGTCTCTACTCAGGGCTTTCTACAGGATGGGGGGCAGAGCAGAGCAAGATGCCTGCCCGGTGGTGAAGAAACCCCTAGCTCTGGGCCGAAGTCCACATGAGCTGGGACGGGCATCACAGGGCTGCACATGTGGGTTCTCTGCAGCCCCGGCATCCTGGGGATACGCCAGGTGCAGATTCTTGGGCCTGTACTGGACCTGTCCTGGACCTGCCTGGCAGAAGCTCTAGGGGCCCCCAGGATCCTGCAGGGCAGACCACAGAGCTGACAGTCTTATCAAGGCTAAGAGCCCAGGGCAGGAAGGCTGTCAGGGCCAGGGCCAGGGCCAGGGGGTGGTGGGAGAGGTTGGGGAGGCAGGTCCTGGGTCTAGTGAGCTGTGCTCATCTGTGGCCCTGCGTGTGGGCAGAACTGTCCTCAGGAACCCTGGGCCCTGCAGGCAGGGCCCTGGGTCCCAGGCTGAGTGTCCAGCCTGCTAGGGGACTGGGCCGGGCCGGGTGCTGGCCTAGGACAGGTGCTAGCTGTATTGTGCTGCCTGAGGGCGGGGGGCAAGCCAGCAGCTCTTCCCGCAGCCAGCAAAGCCTGAGCTGGTTTCCTGCCCCTGGCTCGGGGCTGCCAGAGACAGGTGCAGCCAGCAGAGTTCTGGACAGCGTGTCCCTCAGCCTCCTGGCCTCACCCTGTGAAGCAGCAGTTGTCTCTCCCTGAGTACCACCCTGCCCAAGCCCACCCTCCTCAGCTGAGTTTGGAAGAGACAGAAGGCTGCATCCCAGGGTCTGTGCTTGAAGCCTGACCAGCGTGCTGGTGGTGGCCTGCGTTACGGGGTGGCAGGTGGGGGGGATGCTCCTTCCCCGGCTGAGCAGTGCCCTGCTGTGATGTGTGCCTGGGGGATGAACCTATTTCTTTGGCCCAATTGGCTGTCCCAGGTGGGGCTGGAGGTACCTGATGGGGGGTGGGGCCTGGCTCCTGTGTGAAGCTGGGACTGTGGGCCCCGGGGGCATGTCCCTCAGACTGGAGTTGCTGCTGGCTTGGCCCCAGGGGAGGAGAGGCCCATCTGCCTGCTTCCCTGCTGTGGGCCAGCGGGCATGCTTCCCTGGGGCACTGTCTCCCACGGTCCCTGCCCCTCGATGGAGGCTGCATGTTACCAGGGGTGGCAGTCACAGTCCAGCCTGAGTCACCTGCAGCTGGGGAGCAGTCAGGGAGGGAGCCGAGGTGCAGGCCTGTGCCTGGACGCCCATCCGCGTGTCTTGTGAATGGCAAGAGGCATTGGGTCCAGATGGACTCATTTATTTAAGATCCTATTTCATTTTAAAATGCTGAGAAAAGGGCTCGCAGAGCACAGTGAAGCCCTTGTTCGCCCTTGTCCGGCCAGTTGGAGTGTCATCGTCCACTCCAGTCCATTGCAGTCCCTTTAGGACAGACAGCACTGTAAAGTCCCCTTTGTTCCTGGGGCCGGCCCAGCCCACCCTGGAGGCTGTGATCCGCTTTCTTCCATGTCAGGAAGGGTCTGCCTGGGAGTGGTGGGAAGGGGAGCCCCGCCCGAGTGGCCGTGGCCGGACACCTGCTGGCCGCCTCTGTCCACTTGGCCCCTGGCCCGGGCTCTCCACTTTTTGGCAGGGAAGGAGCTGGCTTGGGTCTCCAGCAGGGCAGCTGTGGGCGCAGGAAGAGGGGACCCTGCCTAGGGCCAGGGTGCTGCATTGTCTGGAGTGACTCCCAAGGCTCGTTGTCCCTTTCCTGGACACCAGTGCCTGCACCTGGGGAAGGGGGAGAGGAAGCCCAACCGCTCCGCAGTGTGGCAGGCGCAGTCTCCCTCCAGAGAGGAGACTGAGCCGGAAACCCTAGACCAGCCGCGCGCCCGCGGCCGGTGGTGTCTGGGCCCCGCCCCGCCCCGCCCATGACGACTGATGCAACCCTGCTGGCTGCTTGCTGCAGCCGGAAAGCCGGCTGCGCCTGGGGTGCGGCCCTGAGCCCCTGCTCGGTCTCTGGGGAGCTGTGACTTGTGAAAGCAGGCCCCGCCCCGCATGCCAGACCTGGCGGGCAGGTGGCAGGACAGAGCGAGCCACGCCGGGAGTGTTTCCATTTCCTGAGCACCAGAAGCGGGACTTGCACTGCTCATCCACACACCTCCCTTTGCGGGTGTGCTGGGGCCCCCCAGTGTGTCACTGTGTAGTAACAGTGACTTCGGCCCAGCACCTCCAAGGCAGCTTCCTAGGCGGCCCGGGGAGCGGAGCCGCAGATGCTCTGAGGCCGAGTCCTTTCCGGAGAGCGTTGCTGCCGGCGGGTGGGACGCGGATGGTGCCAGACGCCAGTCTTCCTGTTTTCCGGCCCCTGAGGTGTCAGCCCATCCAGCTAATTAGCATCTACTAGATTTTCCGACCTGGTGCTGAAGTGTGCACAACCAGTCCAGCTGCCAGAGCCACCTGGGTTTGCAGGGTGGGGATCTCAGGCCCCCGCCCTAGAGGGGAGGGCGCTGGTTAATGTTCAGCTCCCCTGAGTGACCAGGAGGAGGTCTGGCCCTGGCCTCGCTGTAGATGCAGCCAGGCGGATGTGGCTCACGTCATGGAGCATTGTCAGCACCAGGGCCGTGGCCACCTGAGCCTCAGGAACAGGATGAGCTGAGGTGGCGCCGTGGGGGCGGGCGGTGAGTATCCCTCACTTTTTTTAAATAAACTTTTGTTCTGCCATCTACTAGAGGACGGCTGTGTTTGCTGGTGTTCGGGGGCCCAGGCAGGACTGGCCAGTGTACGGGGTGTTGGTCACTCAGCTGCCTGCCCATGGCCCGACCCCTCCTTTCCTCCCAGCCCCTCCCAGGCGTCAGTTTCAGACACGCAGGTGCCCGCTGCTGGTGCCAGTAAACACTGGGTGTGAACTCTTGGTTCTCAGTATCCACCCTTTGAGCTCCTAGCCGGTGGCTCAAGGAGGGCTCCTGGCGTGGGAGGTTCCCCATAGCTCTGGGCTCAGCACGGATCCCTGCTAACTGGACATCCGTGCTTCATCTGCCAACGCCCAGGTGGTCAGGGGAGGGTCCTCACTCAGCCACAGGCACTGCCACAGGTCACCAAGGTGCAGGGGACACAGCCATCCTCCTGGTGGCCAGCTTGCCCCTGAATCCCGAGTGGGCCCTTCCTGAGCACAGGTCCCTGGAGGAGGCTGACGAGGGTCTGAGAGAAGTCCATTAGGACAGTCCAGGGGCACCTGGGATCCCTGTGTTTTCTTCACCTTTGACCTTGGCTGTACAGAGCCAGCCCACAGACACCCAGCCTGCGAGAGGGCCCCGCATGGACACAGCTTGCTTCCCCAGGGTCCCAGCCTCGACCCGGTGTCCTGACCTCACTGCCGGTGGGGACTCACGCTGCCTCTCCCCCCACAGTGCTGCTCACCGCCGTGAACTGCTACAGTGTGAAGGCTGCCACCCGCGTGCAGGACGCCTTCGCGGCCGCCAAGCTCCTGGCCCTGGCCCTCATCATCCTGCTCGGCTTCATCCAGATCGCAAAGAGTGAGTGTGGTGCCAACCTGGCACGTGGCTCCTGCTCTTCATCCGGCCAGCAGGCCCCCCCAGGGAACTCGTGCAGAGCCAGGCACCCCCCTGTGCGCGGGGGCTGGAGCTCGTTTTCCTGAGTCCAAAGCACCATGGCTGAATCTGCCCTGGTCCAGGCAGGGTGCGGAGGGTTCCCTGCTGAGCCTGTGCCTTGCCCGTGTCCCCATCATGTGCCAGGAGCCCTGTGGGGGTCTCTCAGCGGTGTGACCGCTCTGGTGATTGTCTTGCAGGTCCTGGTGGGGGTGGGGTGGCGCTGGGGGGCTGCTCGGCTTTAGGACCCTCGGTGGGGAGAGCTCCCCAGGAGGACGGTGTCTGTCCTTGGGCATGGGCGCCAGGCCTGGAGATGCGGCCACCTGTGTAGGCGAAAGAACATTGTTCTCCTTTCTGTGACATGGAAGTGAAAGAGCAAATGAGAGCGGAAAACAAGACAGGAACTGTAAACCCTGCCACAGAGACGCCGCGGCCTGGGCTTCTAGGCTGGGCGGCCTGACGGTCACGGCCGTGTGACTGCAGGCAGGGCACTCCGCTCTGCGCGGCTGCCTGTGCTCCGGGGCTGGGGTCTGCTGGGTGGAGGGTGCGTGCCGAGTGCCCTGTGCAGCACCCGAGTTCTCAGATGGTGCAGAAGCAGTGGGTGGCGAAGCTGGGCGTCTGCGTGGACGTCTGTGCACACACACTGTGCGTGAAATTCCTCCTGCACCTTAGCCTGCACTCCCCCTCTCCTTTTCCACAGCCGTGTAATATTCCAGAGTGAGGGTGCGCACAGTTACTCAGTGGTGCTTTCCAGGTGGCCGCAGACCTGGAACACACTCCTGAGCACTCCTGAGCTCTCCCAGGGAGCGTGACCAGGAGCTTGGTGGGACATGGGCTCTGCCCTCAGGCAGAGCCCCAGCACACTGTTGCTTTGGTAGCAGGATGCCCCGGGGAGGTACTTGTCACGGTGTAAAACCCTGAGAGGCCGGAGGGGAGAAGCTCAGCTCCTCCAGGCCAGGCTCTGTGCAGCCTACCCGCTTCGAATGCGCAGCCCAGGGCCTCAGGGCCATGGATTTGGTGACCAAGTGGGCCCTCCTGCAGCTCCCTCACGCTCTGCAGGCAGCTCTGCCTTGCCCACACGGCCTTCCTGTGGGGCAGACTCACAGCTCCAGTGTCCAGGACCCGGGGGGAGGTGGCCAGCTGCAGGGAGGGAGCCGGGCAGTGAGGGCCACTGTGGGCAGAAGGACAAGGTCTGTGCCCACAGACCTCGCACAGCCAGGGCTGGCGCCACTCTGCAGTGTCGGGGAGGGGACTGGCTGGGCGGCTGCGATCTGATGGACGGGTGAGGAATTTAGGAGGGGGAAGGCGATTGTTGTAAAAACGAACTCCAGTGAGGACAGCAAAGAGCTTTTGTGCAGCCTGGACACACAACGTGTGTGTGATCCCGGTGCCGTGGTGAACACCCCGCACCCCAGCACTTCCTGTCTGACCTCGGTGACGCCGTGCCCAGTCCGCAGCATTCCTGTCCCACTCTCTTCCCAGGGGCTTTGCTCTCTTCCAGACAGATGCCTGCCCTCTGGAGGGTACGCTGGGGGGCAACCTTTTCTCCCTGAGCAGTTGCCCTACTGTGTCTCCCATGCCCGTGGAGGTGGCTGTGCCCAGGGCCCCTCAAGACAGAGATGCAGCCCCCAGCGGTGCGTGAAGGGGCCACTGTCCGCTCATCCATGCCTGGGCCTGGAGAACCTGGTGCTCTTGCCCCGGGGACCCCCATCCAGCAAGCACTGACCCTGTGCCCACTAGGGATGTACCCTACTGTCTGGGGCTCAGGTCACCCTGCAGGGACATGGGACATCTGCACGCCAGGAGTCACAGATGGTGTCAGAGGGGTCCTCAGGCTCCAGCACAGGAGGAGGCAGTGGGGTGCAGGGTACAGGGCTCTCCTCCCTATAGAACCCTGGCCCTGGGTTGGGAGGAGCTTCAGCTGCCCCGGGTCAGGGCCGGTGGGGTGATGCCCCAGATTTGTGGGCCGGTGTCATGTGAAGTCTCTGCATTTAGCCCAGCACGTCCAGAGCAGACGGTGCCCACGCTGACTGTCACGGGGCTCGGGTCAGCAGGGCGAGTAATGGTGGCTTGGACAGGTGACCCAGAGGGAAGTCAGGGGTCAGGGAGACAGGCAGGTGGGCAGGCTTGGGGCTGTGGCCCGAGGCCTTTGTTTCTGAGGCCGAGGTGGGAGTGGGGTGCTGACAGCCCAATTTTTGCGCCCGGCGAGGGGCCAGGCCCCCCTCCCCTCCCCGCCCCCAGAAGGACACACAATGAGCCCTATTGTGGTTCTGCTGAGTTGCAGAGTCCAGGGGAGAACAAACTAATCTCTCCTCCGGCAGTCCGACCAGACAGCGTGCAGACAAAGCGGGTTCAAGCGAAACTTTCTCCTCCGCCCACGTTGCCTGGCTGGCTGCGCGCCCCTCCGGGCCGGCGGTTGGCCTCTCACTGTGCACAGAGAGCAAAGATGTCTCAGCCTGGCGGAGGGAGAGTGGTCACTTCCTCTCCCTCACCGCCGGGGGTCCTGGACGAGAAGCACCAAGCTCGGACCCCTGCCGACACCCTGGCCCCGGACACCCCTGTGTGGCCTGCGGCCGGGAACCCAGCTCCTCTGCACCTGCTGTGCAGGAGCTCGGGTCTGTTGGGCACTTGGTGGTTTGTGAAACGGCCCTTTCCTCTTGCCTGTTGCTGGCCGGGTGCCCCGGGCTGGGAGAAGTGTGGTGTCCGGCGCCTGTCAGAGGAGGGAGACCGAGACTGGGGCATGGTGTGGGGCTTGGCAACTCGCGTCTGTTGGTGAGGTTTGTGGTGGGCATTGGAGGTGTGAGTATCGGGGAAGGCTGGCAGCAGAGATCCAGAACAGCTCCCAGGCAGGCGGCAGGACACCAGTGGGCCGAGATTCCAGGGTTGCTCCTCTGGATGGCCCAGGAGGCACCGAAGAAGCCCGAGCACGTGCCGTGTGCCTCCTCCTGGCTCTTGCCGGCTTCCACAGGCCCAGAGGCAGCAGGGCTACCCGCCTCAGCAGCCCCGTGGTGGGCACCCAGCCCAGATGGGGACCCCAAACCTGTGAGGGTTTTACGCCCACCCCAGGCAGCCCAGCATCTGCTCAGCTGGGTGAGGACAGACTTGGCAGGGTCACTGCCAGTCTCATGTGGTCCTCACGTGGCAGCTAGAGAGCCCGCAGGGCCCCCAGTGAGGACAGGCGCCCGTTCTGGCTGTGCCCTTGATGATCCATCCCAAGAGGCCCTGGGATGGACCTGGGCTCAGGGTGCCACGCCTGAGTGTGGAACTTGTCCTGGCCACAGGAGGGTCCACATCAGGGCACCACCCTGTCCACACAAGGCTGGACAGGCCAGGAGCTCTGTGGATTCCAGGTGAGCCCGGGTAGTTTACCCGACGGAAAACCGGCCACAAACCCGCCTCGGGCTGCCAAGGCAAACTTGGGACAAAGCCCAGGCCTCCCCTGTGGGGACCCAGCTCATGGGTCTGTGACACGAGGTGGCCCGCCGGCATGGGTCACACAGGGACAGGCAGGACACTGTGCCCAGAGCCACTGCGCTCGCTGGACTCCTGCCAGACTCAAGCTCAGTCCTTGGAGCGGGGTGACCCTGCCCTGGAGACAGAATGCCCCTGTGGGGCGCCCCCGGCCGTGTGTAGCCCAAGATCTCCTCCCTTGCCCGCTTCGGGCTGTACTGAGGACTCCACAGCTGGAGGTGGGGCGTGAGATCTCTGGAGGGTTCTTCTTTTGACCTTCGAGGCTGCACATTGAGCTACAGGTCCAGCCCTTTTGTAATTCTGAAACAGCTCTTGCAAAATTGCCCAGGTGGGACTGAACTTTCGAACCTCTTGCCGCGACTGCTAGAGTGCTTCAATGGCTGGCACATGCCCTCGTGCCTGGCTGTCGGGGCTCTTTGCCATGTGACTGCGTCCTGCCCTGGGCCTGCTGTGTCCTGTGACACTGCAGCTTTAAAGGATCACATGCTTTCCTGCGGGAAGGCTCGGGACCAGAAGCTGGGCTTTGCTCCATGGCCGGGGAGTGGAGGAGCCCCTTTCCATGTGAGGTCCAGAGCTGATTGCAGAGCTGAGGGGCTGCCCCCTGCAGCTTCAAAGGACAGGGGCACCTGTTTTGGCCACACTCTCCAAACCCAGCTCCTGCCCCCGCCCCTCCAGATGTCAGGCATAGCTCGGTGACAAGGGCACCTGGTCCTGGGGGAGCTGGAGAGGGCGCCCAGCCATGGTCCTTCACTGGCCCCATCTCCAGCAAGGGCCGGGGTTGGGGGCGGCAGTGACGGCAGAGCCTGGAGCTGCTCCAGCCTGCCCACCTCAGCCAGCCCTCCCTACATGGGAGACAACCTCGGCCCACACACAGAAGACGCCAGGGTGGGCAGAGCACAGGCTGCTCCTTAGCGCCGTCCCGGGGCCCCGGCTGCTCCAGCACCGGGCACCCTAGAAGTCACGGTGACAGGCGTGCCTGGCCAGAGTCTCCAGAGGACCACAGAGGGAGAAGAGCAGTTAAAATCTTGAGGCCCCAGAGAGGACCCTTCCTGCCTCTCCGAACTGCACCAGGTGGCACTGGGCGGCCCTTGGCTGGCAGTGGCATCGCCCGCAGTGTCCGCTCCGTCTCACGTGGCCAGCTCTGTCTATCTCTCCTGTCCCGAGGACCTGGCCATCGGACCTAGGGCCCCTCGAATTCACCTTTTAGTCCTGCAAAGGCCACCTTGCCAAACAAGGATGTGCCTTGGAGTCCCAGAGGGACAGGAACTGGGGCTCACTGTCCTATACTCATGTCCTAGCTCACCAGCTCATGGAACCCCAAAAGCCAGAGAGGGCTGGAATGTGGAGGACCCACCGAGGTGCCCAGGTCCCCTGCTGGCGCATTGCCCATGCGCTGTGCCCTCAGGGCCCGAGGTCAGCTCTGAGCTGCCCCCATCTCCAGACCGAAGTTTCCCATGCCTAGGCCCCAGCGGAGCCTTTTCCACGCCCTGCTGTGACACAGAGGGCCAGCCTGATCTCGGGGACGCACAGCTAAGGAGCCCTGTCCTGGGTCAGGGCCCCAGGGCTGGCCACGCCTCTGGTGGGAAGAGTCTGTCTTGGTCCCATTCCCAGTGTCCTTGACCAGCGTGCGGCCCTCCCAGGCATCCATCAGCAAGGGACCGAGGACGAGGACCAGCCCTTGGCCTGGGACACTCACCCTTCTCCCCCACGGGACGGTTCTCATGGCCGCCTCTGCATGACTCAGGGCTCTGGGCCGTTGTCCGCTGCAGGGCTCTCTGCTAGGCCTTCTGGACTCCCGCTTCGACCTGGGGGGCGCTACTCAGCCCTTGGGGTTTGCGGGGCATTCAGGGTCTGCCCACACATCAAGGATAAGGACAGGAGACCCGGGGTATCATGGTGAGGACCCGCTCTGCCCGGCCAGCACAGGGAGGACATTTCCTGCCGAGGAGGGTACCGCGCCCCATGTCCTCAGGTCCGCGTCCGACCTGTGCCCCTGACTGCCATCTGGAGGTCATTTCCTGCCCACCTTCCCGGTCACCGTGGCCTTGCAGGAGTGCACTGCCCTGGAAGCTGAGGGGTGAACGAACCTTCAGGTTCTGCAGTGCTGTGGGAACAGACTTTCAGCCTCGGCAGGTCCCTGGGAGAGGCCCTGGGGCCATCCTTGTCCAGCACTGGGCGGTGGCAGCTTGAGGACAGGGCATGACCCACACGGCATCATCGCCACGTCCTTGAACGTGGTAGGGGTGATGCTATCCATTACAGGGCCTGGGCAGCATCTCCAGCTTTCACCACTGGACAGTGGACCCCATCACTGTCCCCAAAAGTCTCCAGGCCTTACCAAAGCCAGTCCCCTGGTGGTTGGGACGGGGGCCCTAGAGCCTGGGTCCAGCCCTGCCTCCTCCCAGGAAGACTTGTGGCTCCCGTTCTCCAGGGGCAGGCGCAGGGCCAGGCGTGGAGCGGCTGCTGTGAGCGGTCCGGAGGGCGAGTTCTCTGTGTGTGGCATCCAGGGCCGGGCAGGGTGCCAGCCCTAGGACCAGGGCAGAGCTGGGGTGGTGGCAGATGGTCAGAGGGGGCAGCCTGGCTGCCATGAGCCCCCCACCCTGCATTGCCTTGGACTGTACCAGCCCTGGCCAAGGATAGCTCTTGGGGTCCAGACCAGCAGCCTGGCACTCACTCGGTGGCACCTGCATTTGGTCTGGCACCCAGGGACGCCAAGGCCTCCCGTGCTGGGCCAGTGTCCAGTACAGCCCAAGACCATCACACCCCAGGGCCCTGAGCAGGCGGGGCTGGTGCCACCAGGTCCTCAGACACCTGCCTTACCCCATGCCCACGCCACCACCCTGGGAGTGGGGTGGCCCCAGGGCCGGAGGCCCTTGACAGAGCCTGCATTTCTGGTCCCCAGCCCACCGCCCTGTCCCTCAGAGGCTGCTCCTTGTCACTAAGCTAAGCTTTGCTCTGTGGCATCCTGGCCTGTGACATCCTGGTCACCATGTGGAGGGCATGTGGCCCTCCTGTCCGACAGCACTCGACAGCCTCACAGCCAGGCACAGGTGGCCCTGCCTTAATGTCCCCACTTGGAGGACAGCTGCTCCCCAGCAGGGCACAATGACGGGGGACAGAGCAGGGCATTGCCTATGTGGGGAGCTGCATATCCCAGGACATTCTCTGGAGCTGGGGAGGGCCTGCCCCACCCACCTGCGCCCCAGCCCCACGGGTGGCCACCTTGTCACCCTACAGTGCCCCCGGCCTGGACAGTGGTGGTTTGGCAGCTATGGTCAGCTTCACCCAGTGCAAAGCTGTCACCCGGAGTTCTGATGGCCAGGCACGCTGCTGTTGGGACCTTCTGGGACTTGTGATGTGCCCTGACCGGCGTACCTTTCTCTGTCCTGTGCCAGGCGATGTGTCCAACCTGGACCCCAAGCACTCCTTCGAAGGCACCAACCTGGATGTGGGGAACATCGTGCTGGCCTTGTACAGCGGCCTCTTTGCCTACGGAGGGTGGTAGGTCCCACGGCATCTTGGGCCCTGAGGAGCATGAGGGACCTCAGACGCAGCCCACGTGGCCCATGGCCCCTGGCCTCTTGGTGTGTGGCCTGCAGGTCAGCCCAGGACCAGGTCCTGTGGCCGTCGCCCTCGGGATGGCTGCACAGGGACAGAAGTGCCACAGGCAGGCAGATGGGGAAAGTGCAGGAGGCAGGTGCCCCGAGCAAACAGGGCAAGGGCAGTGCTGCCCCTGCGCCTGCCCTCTGCAGGCTCTCCCTGGCGGCCTCGGACCCCTGGGGATCCGGAAGCCGGCTCCACCCTTCAGGGCTCACTGGGGACAGGGTTGGGCCGTGGCTGTAGGCCTACCTCAGGGACAGAGCTGACTGCCCCTGCAGAGGGCTCATGGGAGGAGCAGCCTGGGGGGCACAGGGCACCCCCTTTCCTAATGCTCGAGGAGTGCTGTGTAACGGAGCTGTGGCCTGGGTTCTAGGAATTACCTGAATTTCGTCACGGAGGAGATGATCAACCCATACAGGTACGTCCAGAGCAGCGGCACCGGGCTTGGCCGGCAGCTGGGGGACTCTGGGACAGGACCCAGGCTGGCCACTGGGGCCCTGTGACCTGGATGGGGGTGGGACATGTGCCTGGTGTGCAGGAGAGCTGGAGGGGCGCAGGCGGCCCCAAGGTGGGGCAGGGCTGGCCGTGCAGAGCAGCCGGCAGGGCGATGTTCAGACTCGGCAGCCCCAGCGCCCTTGACCCTCACGGTCACCATGCAGGACCACCAGCGGTCAGGGGCCATGAGGCTGGTGTTGCCCACCCACTGTCCTCTGGTCACAATCACCTGTTACCAGCGCCCTCACCGTGTGCCTGAGAATCGGGGCTCAGACACGGGGTACCTATGGGCCGGGCCATGGCCCTGGGCTGCTCTTTGACCTCTGCCCTCCCCATGGCTCCCAGAAACCTGCCCTTGGCCATCATCATCTCCCTGCCCATCGTCACCCTGGTGTACGTGCTGACCAACCTGGCCTACTTCACCACGCTGTCCACTGAGCAGATGCTGTCGTCCGAGGCCGTGGCCGTGGTAAGGTCCAGGGTCCAGGCCTTGCTCCTGCCCCACGGGCTGGAGTCTCTGTCCTCAGTGTCCTGAAGGTGACTAAGAGGTCTCTGCCAGGACAGCGGGAAGTGCAGGGCATCCTGGCCTGGCTGCCACTGAAGTCTCAGCTTGAGAAGTCCCAGGGCCCAGCAGCACCCAATCGGGTGATGAATCAGCTCCTCTTGGTGTCCCAGGGTCCACGTCCAGAGCCACAGGGTCCCCCCAGACCTCGGGCTAGGAGAGGCGGCTTCAGGTTCAGCTGCGGGATGGAGTGCCTGTGGGGCCCAGAGTCCTGTGACAGCCTGGCCTGGCTTCTGCAGCCCTGGGGCTCTGCCGCCCCCATTCTGGGCCAGTGGCCAAGGCTCATTTAACACATGGACATGGTGTCCCCTGCCTGCTAAGGCCAGGATAAGGAAGGCAGAGCCCCAGCCCCAGGCGGCCCTTGGCTCTCTCTGGCTGGATACAGTAAGTGTGGCAAAGCTGGCCCAGGAGCCCGAAGCAGGGTTCCCATCCCCTCGGTGCCAGTCCCAGAGCCAGGTCACTGCAGGGCTGCCTGCCGCCCAGCCGAGGCTCACAGGGCTGCATCCGCAGGACTTCGGCAACTACCACCTGGGGGTCATGTCCTGGATCATCCCGGTCTTCGTGGGCTTGTCCTGCTTCGGCTCCGTCAACGGCTCCCTGTTCACGTCCTCAAGGTGAGCCCACCCAGGTCCTTGGTCCCCCGATGCCTGCCTGTGCTTTGAGTGGTGTTCGCTGTCGGTGGCTTAGCGGTTGCGGCCACAGGAAGCAGGGCCTGTGCCCCTGCAGGCCCCGAGGGTGAGGATCGGGCTGTGGGGTCAAGGCCGGGCTGACCACCCGTTCTCTGTCCGCAGGCTATTCTTTGTGGGGTCTCGGGAGGGCCACCTGCCCTCAGTCCTCTCCATGATCCACCCCAACCTCCTGACACCTGTGCCGTCCCTCGTGTTCACGGTAAGCCTGCCACGGGCCGTGTGCACCACTGGCTCTCGCACACTTAGGCCCACTCCACACTGCCCGAGCAGATGCCGGAGGTGTCTCAGGTGTGTGCCGCGCAGGCTGGGCGATGCCAGGGATGCTGCTGCCTCAATCTGTAGCTCCACCTGTGCCCGAGGCAGCCAGGAGACATTCAGCCGGCCCCCGGGAGCTGCTGGGACCTCCGGGGCTCAGCTCTGGTCGCCCTCGGGGCCCACAGAGGCTGTGCTCCCAGGACCAGCTTTCTCCTGGGGCCACCCAGCGGGCATGGGGGCTGCACGGGCCCCGCCTCAGGCACCCAGTGAGGAGTGAGCCCTGAGTGCATCTTGCTCCCTCGGGCCCCCACATTCTGTCCTCGGAGGCTGGAGGTGCCGCCCTGGGCCCCTCCACAGCGCGGCCTCCTCCTCGCCCCCTCCGGTCCCTGCCTTGGCCCTCAGACCTCCCGGGCTGCCCGCCAGCTTCCCTCTAGAGGCCGTTTCCATGTCCCCAGGAGGGCTCACACGCGTCTCTTTGCAGTGCATCATGACGCTGCTCTACGCCTTCTCCAGAGACATCTTCTCCGTCATCAACTTCTTCAGCTTCTTCAACTGGCTGTGCGTGGCGCTGGCCATCCTCGGCATGATCTGGCTCCGCTTCAAGAAGCCCGAGCTGGAGCGGCCCATCAAGGTACGCGCCCGGCTGGGTGCTCTGCAGGGGCAGGCAGGGCCGAGTGTCCCCAGGAACCTGGGCGTCCCTGCCTGGCCTCTGTCTCCCCTCAGCAAACCCGGGTCACAAGGCCTGCCACACTTTGGCAGACGGCAGGGTTCCTTAATCCAGCCGCCCCTGCCACCCCATACTGTGCTGTGAGCTCTGGGGTGCCAGGCCGGGCTCTGCGGGAAGGCGGCGGGTGAGGCAGGGCCCATAGGAGCCGGCGGCTGGCAGCTCCCATCACCTGGCCAGCTCTCTTGGAGCAAGGCCATTGCACCAGTGCCCACCACAGGCCCCTCCCTGTCCTCCACCCAGTGGGGTAGGAGAGCCAGGGTGAAGGGAGGCAACAGGGGACTCATGTGCCAGGCCCTGTGCCCCGCCCCAGCATGAGGCCCCAAGGGAGAGCCTGAGAGAGGGCGCCTGGGCTCATCCAGCAGTGACCAGCCAGTGCCCAAGGCTTTGGGAGCAGACCCCAGTGGGAGGTCCCTCCCGGGCCCTGCCGCACCGTCACACTGCCCACAGCGAGGTCACCCGTGGGCCCATCCCGGGGAAGCTGGGCCCCGAGCCCGTTTTCTCCCTGTGGACTCGCCAGGCCAGGGTGCCATGCCCGTCCTCTCCTGCTCAGCTCCTGCGCTGAGTCTGAGTGAAGCCGTGCAGGGTGTGGACTCACCCTGTGGTCACAGCCGCTCTCTGGGGACGCTGGAGATGGTTGGCGGGCAGGGGTGGCTGCGAGCCAGGGCCCAGCAGGGACGGCCCGGAACTTTCCGTGGGGCCAACACCCTGCCTGCCGCACAGGTGAACCTGGCCCTGCCGGTGATCTTCACCCTGGCCTGCCTGTTCCTCATCGCGGTGTCCTTCTGGAAGACACCTGTGGAGTGTGCCATCGGCTTCACCATCATCCTCAGCGGGCTGCCCATCTACTTCTTTGGAGTCTGGTGGAAGAACAAGCCCAAATGGCTCCTGCAGGCCATCTGTGAGTGTCAGGGACCCCATCCCCACTAGGCCGGCCCCGCCTCTCTCCCCGGGGGTGAGACCCAGAGGGCAGCAGGGACTCTGGGCTGCTGGCCCATTCTTACCATCATGGTGCTGGGAGACTGAAGGTCTAAGGTGGCCCCATGTGGGCGAGGAGCCCCCGTCCTCAGGCCTGGCAGCTGGTTGGACAAACCCAGAGGCTGTCAGTCCTGGGAGCAGGATGTGGCCCAGCCCGAGCCCCGGGTAGGGCACTCCATGGAGAGTGTCGGGTGGCCCCATCCAAAGCAGGATGGCTGCCTCGAGCCTGGATGGTGTGGGGTGTAGACCTGGGGCGGGGCACCCCTGGACCCCGAGGCCCTGGGTATGCATTTGGGTCTTCCCTGGGCTCAGGGTTGTGCCGGGGGGCAGCTCCCACCCCATCAGCTACCAGGCTTCGAGCTCCACCCTCCGGCCAACAGATCTGGGGAGTCCCTGGAGCAGGGCCAGTGTCCAGCGAGGGCTGCGGGTTTCTATACGACAGGTTTCTGACTTGCTCTCCCGCGGCCCTGGCCCTGGCCCGGGCTCACCCCTGCCCTCTCCCCACAGTCTCCTCAACCGTCTTGTGCCAGAAGCTGCTGCAGGTGGTCCCGCAGGAGACCTAGCCCAGAAGCCTCCAGCGCAGAGCACACGGCCGTCACACACCCTCAGCGCAGCAGCTTCTGGCCCTCATCCCCGCAGGTTGGGCACCTCGGAGGTGGTCAGAGCCCTGGTACGAATTCAGCCCCGGAAGCCGCATCTGCCCTTGGCTTCCCGGCACAAAGGACTTCCTGTCACCTCAGCCCCCCACCCTGTTTGCAGTTTAGTTTTTATTTTAACTTAAACTCGGGGTCCCAAGGACACCCCAAAGTCATTGTCAGAGAACCAGGACAGAGGCGGGCGGTGGTGCTTGCCCGCCTAACGCTGCCTGCAGCGCAGCATGCCTCGAGGGACCAGGTCACTGTCACAGGTGCATGGAACTACTGAGACAGACGTCACTGTCACGACCACAGACTGCACTGACAGACAGGCAGACAGAAAGACAGCCCCACGGCATGCACTTGGCTCTCCCCCTGCCCCCAGCGCACTAGGCAGACACACACTGAGCCACGCCCCAGTCCTCTGACTCTGTACCCCTGTAAACGTGGGGGTGCCTGTGAGAACGACCCCCTTCAAGAAACCAGATCCCCCCACTGGGAACCATGGGCTTGGGCAGTGGCCACCAGTGGGCAGCCCAGAGCTCCCCACAGCTCTCGGTTCCCTGGCAGGGCCTGGTCTCCGGCCCCCAGAACCAGCCAGGAAGTGGGGGTTTCATCTCAGGACAGAAGGTGGGGAGCTTGGGGCCTTCCCGTCTGCACACTGGGGGCTCTGCCTTGGCCGAAGACCACCACCCATATCAGGAAGAGGGGACTGTGCCCGGCTGCAGCTGCCACAGGCGCCACCAAGTGCTCGGGTCACTGGGGTGGGTGGGGCATGGACAGGTCCCCAGTGCTCCTCTGGCAGGGCTCCTCAAGACACAGGGCCAGCCGGGGACCCCGCCTCACAGGGCCAGGCAGCTCAGGCCCATGGTGCCGGCTTGTCCTGCCTGCCCTCCACCCCCAGGGAGACCCCAGGCTGTCCACAGGGACCAGCTGCCTGGAAGCCCCTCTCCGCCTCCACACGGGCCACCCTGGCCTCGGGGCGGTGGCTCTGTTTCGCATCCTTTGCTTTTTATTTGTCCTGACATCTTTACTAATGGACGGGTACTGTGGGTGCCACACTGACTTGGGGGGTGCAGGAGTCACACCCCCTCCCCGTGACTCGGAGAGTGACACGTGCAGCTGGGTGCCCTTTCCCTCGTGTCCATGGCTAACCTGTTACACTAGGCTTGTTGGGGGGGTAGTGCTGTTGTATTGTGGGGTTTTGGTGTTTTGTTTTTTTTTTAATAAAAGCAATTAGAATTCCGTGGCTGCCATGTTTTCCCTTTCTGTGCCCCATGCCCTGGGGGACGTCCTGGGGTTCCCAGGGCCTGACTCAGTCATGAAAGGTCCCACCCTGGGGACATCTGTCACCGGAGCAGGAAGACAAGGTTCCCTGCACGTAGCACAGTCAGTGGCCCCAGCTTCCTACGCAGAGGCCCAGAGGACAGGGTGGACAGTGCTGGGGCAGCAGGCTTGGGGCTGGGACAGGCTAGTCCCTAGGGGAGAAAGTTCAAGCTCAGGCTGAGGCAGGAAGGTGCTGGCCTTGCTGGGCAGGCAGGGACCCTGGGCATCATCACATCACTTCAAGGCCTAGGCCAAAGTGGGACCAGGGACAGCAAGAAATGAGGGGCGAGTGTGGTGACATAAACCCACAATCGGGAGGCTGAGGCAGGAACATCCTAGCGTGCAAGGCCAGCCTCAGCTACATAGTGAGACCCAGTCTCAAAAGACAGACAGAAGTGAAGCACACCCGTGTCCTTGTTTCCACATTCCCATGAGGGCTGGCCCAGAGAGACCGGCTTCAGCCTGCAGTGCCCCCTGTTGACCAAGCCCAGTGGTTGTCGGTGGCTGGCGACTGCTGACCAGGCAAAGCAGGGTAGCTGGAGTAGCAGGGGCCAGGTAGGGCGGGTGGGAAGAGGCACCTGGGCCCCTTGGGGATGCCCCTCAGTAATGCCACCCGGAGGGGTTCCTGCAGTGGTCCAGGTCCCCTGAAGCTCTTCCTGCTGAGATGGGCAGACTCTGAGAGGCCCCTCATCCCCTGTCCTACCTGCCCTCTCCTGGGAGATGTTAATGACGGCCCTCAGCCAGGCAGGGCAGGCCCAAGCCTCCGGTGGCAAAGAAAATAACCCGCTCAGGCAGGGCCTGGGCCTCTCCCTGTTATTAGGGATAATTGAGAGCTGGCCGCCTCCTGGGGGCGGAGGCCAAGTGTGCGGAGCCCTGGGGCTGGGACTGTCCCCTCTGTGGGTTGGAACACAACCGTCCTGGGCAGTTCCAGGTCAGCTGGCCGCACCTCCAGGCCCCAAAGCTGCCCAGGTGGCCACACTTGTGTCCCTGCACTGGCCACCCCGCCCAGGCTCGGCCTGCTGAGTGCTCTGCCCACGCTCTTCCAGCACAGGGGTCCTGGTGCTACCCCGGGCCAGAAGGTTCCCTGGAAGCTCCCAAGGGGTGGCCCCTCCTGATGAGTAGCCCCAAGCTTCCCCGCCTGTGCTCCCGGGAGAGGCAGAGAGGGGGGGGCTTGCTTCCAGGAACCCCTCACCCAGGAGGCTGGGCACAGGGCGGGTCACCTCGGCTCACCCAGGTGAGGTGGCACTGACCCAGCAGACTCCTGGTCCCTGCTTCAGCCTGGGCTCCTCCCCTGCTGGGCCGCATGGGTACCCTGGGCTGCCATGGTGACCTCCACCTGTCCCTGCTCTTTCCGGCTGCAACGTGGACACTGTCCCTGCGCACCATCCTAGGGGCAGCCCCCTCCTCCTTCTCACAGGACACAGAACAATGCCCCAGGGCAGAGTCACGGCCACCCCTGCTCCCTCAGAGCCCACAGAGCAGGGATGCTGGCTTCACCCCTTCCGAGATACTTAGCGGGCCTCAGTGGGCTGGACACAAGAATTCAGGAAGGTTCCAGGGGCCGGACACGCCCTGTGTCCATACAGACCACTCACCAGCGCATGGGAAGGTGAGGACCAGCAGCACAAAGCAAGCTCAGAGGCCCCAGGAGGGGCCTGACCAGGGCAGGAGCTGGGCAGGGGCCAGCCAGGGGGTTTGTCATCTGCTGCAGGGCACAGAAGCTGGTCGGTCGGTGTCAGGCAGGAGACTGAAATGAAAAACCAGTATTTATGCAGGAGAAACTTCAGAGGGATTCTTGGTGGGGAGGGCTGGGGTTAGGAGGGCTTCTGCTTGTGAGGGGCGCGCAGGAAAGAGTGGGTGTGGAGCAGGTGAAGGCTGAGGGGGCCTATGGGGCGGGGCGCGGGAGGCAGGACTGAAGTCCGGTCAGCAGGCATTGTGTCCTGGCGGTCATCATGGGTGCTTGCTTCAGTGATGATGGAAATTAAACCCTGAAGCTTAAAGATTGCTCTGAAAGTTAAAGCAGGGCTGTGACAGAGAGCCAGCTGGCCCCTCCGGAAGAGAAAGGAGGGACCCCCGTGCGGCGGCAGGAGGGGCCTTTCTGTGGCTGGGTCAGCCTGGCCACCCCAGGACGGAGGCCAGCGGAGGTGGCCCAGGGTGCAGTCGACCTTGGCCTCAGGTGAGCCTCGAGATTCGAGGGCTGTGCGGTGCCCACAGAGGCCACAGGCTGACCGGCTCGGCGTCCAGTGCCAAGCGAGGGCCCGGAGATGAAAGCACGGGGAAGGTCCCCATAAAGCTTGTCGTGCTGTTCTCAGTCTTGGGGTGATAAGTGGGCTAAATTGAGGCCCATTAAACCCCGTTCTGGCGACCTTCAGACAGACACTCCCCAGTGACTAACCTGCCTCTGCCGGACTGGAGGGTTTGAACAGAGTTTCACAAAATGAAGGTCAAGCTTTGCTTATTTTTATTTGCTTTTGGTCTGAGGGTTAGGATCCCAGACAGTGGGGTCTCACTCTGCAGCCCAGGCTGGCCTTGAACGCTGCAGCCCTCCTCCCTCGGCCTGGAGGGTGCTGGGACCGCAGGGTGCCTCACCACACCCAGGCTGTGCTACTTGTAGTTACTGGGCATTTGCAGGCCGAGTGGAGAGAGACGGCTCTTAATAAAACCCCTTCCTGTCCTGCAGGGCTTCCAAACACAAACCATGCCCTTGCTGAGCGGCAGGTCAGGGTCCAGTGGTCAGTTTGCATTTTTGTCACTGTGATGGTCTCTCTGTCACGACTGTGTCACTCGAGGAAGCCAGAGACGGGCCGGAGGGTCTGGAGACCCAGGAATCTGCCCCAGAGCCCTGGCTGGGGCCTGCAGGCTGGAGGGAGCCGCTGGACGGCATCTGAGGCAGCCTCTGCTCTAGGGCAGGGGTGTGGGCGAGGTCCTGCTGCTGGCTGAGGTGCATCTGTCTGGCGGCCCCCTGGATGGGCACAGGCTGTCTTCCAGCGCCCCAGCCCAGCAGCCGCAGACCTCAGTGGCCAGGCCCAGGTCAGCCCTGGGGCCCAGCGGATCACGAAGCACAGCAGTGGCTCCCTAGACCAGGAGTCCCAGCTCTGTGGGGGAGCAGCATGGGGAGCCCTGCGCCTGGCCCAGGGGGGGCCTGGGGTCGGGGGCTCTCCTCTCACTGCCGGAGCTGCGGACACTGCAGGGCCTCGTCCCTCTGCAAACCATGCTCTCCACTGCCTCTAGGAGCAGCAGGGGAGAGAGCCCCTGGCTCCCCTGGGGGCCCTGAGAGGGCTCTCTGTCCGGAACTCGGGGCCTGGGCTGGCAGAGGGCGGGGACGCAAGGCATCGCCCGACCTGGGAGAACAGAAAGCTGGCCTCTGAGACCCCATTACTTCCTGGGGTGAATCAGGGAGTAATGTCAGTGCTCTGTGTGCAGAGTGGGCCCTGGGCCCGTGCCTGGAGCCCAGCACCCCGAGGCCACCTGGCCCACGCCCAGTGCAGCCCAGCCACATCCTCCGACAGCCTCCAGAATGGGCAGCTCCGTCCCAGCGCTCGGTCCTTCCTTCCAAGGCTCCCCTCGGGCAGGACATCCCACAGCTCCGCATCCTGCACCCTGCTGGCAGCCACACAGAGCAGGCCAAGCACCCTGGGCGCTCCCAGGGACCCTGTTCCAACACGTGCGGCCCAGGGTGACTAAGAGCTGCGGGCAGGGACACGGCCGGGATCAGCGCCGGCCACTTAGATCTCAGCAGCTCGCCCCTGCCTGTGCCTGGATCTGTCCTCTCCCACCAGAGAGGCTGGCAGAGGCTGCCACATTCCTTCTCTCTCGGTGACCTCTGCAGTGGGTGACGGTGGGCACGGGGCGTGGGCCTCCCTACAGAGGGCTCCTGTCCTCCCAGTGACAGTACGGCAAGGCTGCCCTGTCCTCTGTGGGAGGTGCCTGCGGGCCCAGAAGTTCCTCAAAAAATCCCTTAATCCCCAGCAGCTCCAGGTTCGGGGCCGGGGCGGGGTGTGGGCAAGCCCAGGCCGGAATGTGCCCTCTGCCCCCCGAGGGAACCGCGCTTTTGCCCGCAGTGCACACATGGGAGCCGCGGTCACCCAGGCCTTCGCCCTGGAATGGTCCCTGGTTTCCCTGCCCTGCACGCCGCTATCGCGTGCGCCTGGATCTACCTGCAATAAACCCTCCCGCGGCTGGGTGTGGCGGTGCCGGCCTTTCATCCTTTATTTTGAGACAGGGTTTTACTCGGGCACTGAATTGCCCAGGCTGGCTTTGAACTTGCCCATCCTGCCTCCGCCTCCTGAGTAGCTGGGGTAACAGGCATGTAACACACCAGGTTCCCCGGGGAGCTTCCTCGATGCGCGATGTGCTGGGAGACTGCTCAGCAATGCCGGACACTGCCGAGACAGGCGACAGCCTGCAGGCCCCACTGAGCACACCACCCTTACAGGACCGGGCTGTGCACGTGTCCTTGGCACCCTCTTTCAGTGCTGAGCTCCCGGGTGACAGCAGGCGGGCTTGCTGCTCACCCAACAGCCCCGCAGGTGGTGACAGGGGCCGGGGCTCTCTGATGCTCCCACTGTGGAGGAAGCAGGGACAGGCGTCCGGCCACTTGGTGGCAAAGGTGCCAGCTCAGGGAGGCCTGGCCAAGGACGTGGTGCGTCCCCGGCAGTGGGGCACGAAGCAGTCATGAGGTCAGGCTGGGGACAGGAAAGCCCTGAAGTCAGCTGCCTGATCTGGGGAGGAGGGCCAGGAGTAAAGCAGGGCCCCGCCTGGTCTGCAACCTCACGGAGAGTCAGTCATGTGGATGTGGGTTCCCTGGGGCCCCCAGACTGCAGCCAAGCCCCGGCCGGGCAGGAAAACAGGTCCCCCTCGGCACCCTCTGAGCCCGAGGGTGCTTCATTGTGCACCAAACGGCCTTCTCCTGCCTTGCA